AATACATGGAAAAACCTACATTAAATTGCAGTAGCTATTACATCACACAGTGGACTGAGACTTTCGTCTCTATAACGAGATGTCAGAAGCGATGGTCAAACTGTGATAAGCAGGTTAGTGAAACTTTTTTCAATTAAGAAAACTGACCTGTAATAACTTTCATCGGGATCCAATGATTCTCTGGCCAAAACAAAGGCCAGAAAATGAACAAGAATGTTACGTTTTGGCAGAGTTTGAAAGTTAAACCCGGGTTTCTGGTCCTCGCTCACTCGCTGACTCATTTCGACGACATATGAGGCTTCACCTCCTATAGGAGGCAGCAGCCACAAAAAAAGAATTGTTTTCGATCCGGGACTGTTGTCTGTAAGCGAGTTGGCGGAAGCCGGACATATCATAAGGGTCGAGCGTCTCTGAATATAACTTCCTCTTGAACTGTCAAGAGAGGAGTACTTTTTAGCGCTTTTAAAAAGAAATTCAATCCACTAGCTATTCAAGTTGAGAATAAACAAGATATGAGAAATGGAATAACGTGTTACACGGTGTGTAACGGCTGCCACGCCTTTGCCACCGGACATTGACCCGCTATAACTTTCATTCGTGTCAAACCGTAATAATGACGTTACTGTTTGTCCATTAGGGACGTGATCTTTTAAGTTCCAGCCAGAACCACATTTTAGTCAGAAGTGTGTTTCGGAAGAGCGCTTTTTTGCCCACCTTCTCTTTAAGTTCGTTTTGGTTAAACTCTTACAGGCGGCCGGGACTGTTATGTAAGCGGCTTACGTTGTTCACGCTTTGTTAGAACGCTGTGCGTTCTTCCCACTTGGCTATTAGTTTTTGTTAGAGTTTGTTTTCAAGCGGCTCTCTTTTATCCCTTTTAGAATTTAGCTTAGCTTCTTCCTTATAATTTTCATAATTCAGGTTACGATAAAAACTTGAATACTTCGACAACGTTAAATAAGACGATTCAAGCCTTGCTTCATAACGTGTCTTCATTTGCGAAACCCATAGTTGTTGTCGAAAATTTGCTTCGCTTGTGTCGGCCGCTAAATAGTGGATTAATTAAATGATAAGTGTACCGCTAATATGGTGCGTTAAATCGGGACACCAGGGTTGATGGAATGCTTTCAGTAATAAATGGGGAAAAAGTTCCTTGTTGATCATAAGTTTGTATTGAACTTCTGACCAAAAAGTTGCCCACCTCAAAGCTTCTCTCAAAGGCAACGGTCTGTGCACTTGTGTGTACCACAAACCTACAGATTATCATAGTTTCTTGTTATAGTCATCGTCGCGTCCATCACTTGTCAAAAATTCCATTCCTTTTTCTCAGTTTCTAAAATTTCGCCTTTTTAAGTAGTGACGACCCTAATTTTTGCCTCAAATCAAAGGCAATGTACCAGTTTTTCGAAAAACGTGGCTATCCTGTTTCTGTCACTTGAGCGGGCCACCACTGCATTAAATAAATTGACAGACAGCATCACAAACGTCAGAGAAGAAAAATACCGATCGAATCCCATTTACCTAAACATTTCACCCTCACAATCAATCAGTTGAATCCATCATTCCTAACTGTAAACTTTAAATTACTTCAAAATGATCCCGAAACTGGTACCTTTTTTCGCCACTTTCAACAATATCATTCAAATGTGACAAAGGCATGAGAAATTTTTTGATCAGAAGTTCAACATATACAAACCAATGATCAACACAGAACTTCAAATGCCTGCGCGCACGATGCAAAACTGGCCTTTATTCATAACGTCCGCAGAAAATATCGAGACTAGAGCGATCCATCAGATCACTGATCATTTCACGTGCACCTCCGCCAATGTGATCCTTCGCATATGCATAACTTGATTTACTTCAAAGGGGTATTCATTGGCGAACCGCAAACAGGAAGACGACTTGGCAACCGATTCCGAGAAAACCTTTGTAACGGAGAATGGAATGCTAATTTAAGGACGCATCCAAACCAGTCGCTAGACACTTAAATCTCTCAAATCATTCTACGCTGAATATGGCAGTCGTCGGCCTTTCCCTACATCTAAGAAGTTCGGAAAGCTGTAAAACTCCAAAACAAAAATTTATTTCGCAAAACGATACTCTTAATCGCCATATCAACGAACACTGTTTTCAATTATATGTAAATCAGGCGAGCCACTTTACAGAAGTCAATGACCCGTCAAAATCCATCTGCAGTTTATCATGGGAAAAGCATTTCTTATAGCAACTGGTCTTATTTCGCTCTTTTGGCTGAACTACTGAAGTTTTTTTGCCTCCTTTATGTTTTCAATCATCGATATTGTCGTAGAATACGTTGAACCGGGGGTGAAAGGATGATATTACAAGGGCGTGAAGAGTGAGGCTTGCTTTAAATTGGCCAATCACCGACGAGATTTTGCTGCGTGCTTCGCGTGTGCGTTAGTTTCAAATTTGTTGCCACGAACGAGATCAGGGAGCGGGCGGGTTGAAGACTTTAAGCCAATCGATTCTTGTTACAACTGCAGCTTAGTAGAACTTCATTTTAGCCCACAGTCCCGTAAAGACTACTTGGCAGCCTGCGTAGGAGGATAATGGCTGGCAACTTTGAGAGGTAAGTATTGATTGTGAAAACTTTCCTTGAAACATTCCGACACAAAGAGCCTTCGAGTGAGCAATACTATGATTCCGGAACCAGATACAAATTATGGCTGCAAAATGAACGCTGAATTTGCGAACTTTAGTGCGCTTCGCAACTTTCTTTGGTCTTGAAGCATTACGCAACAGAATGTTTTGTTTTGAATCTGACAACTTTCAGAATTCCTAACACAACGCTAGGCGATTTTCTGTCCGTGTCCGTCGAGTAGACAACAGGGACCTTAAGCAAACCACGACGGCGACGGTAACGAGGACATGGAAAAACAAAAGATGTAATTGGCAGAACAGTATCTGAGCACGTGCGTTTTAAAACTTTGTACATTTCTTAGCCCTCCTATGCAAAACAACAACGTGAAATCACTACAATTTGCGTGGTCTGCGAACCGAAACCACAGCGGCAAATTATTTTAATTTCCGTTTGGAACCTAATGCTTCTTCTATACGTTATGCTGAAGTTCAGGCGTGGCGCAGTGTGAGACGGTAAACGCATGCAGCCATTTTTAAAATTCTAATGAAAGGCAGAAATTCATTTTTTAATTGAAGTCTTCCTTGGCGTTGCCGTCCTGACTGCTTAAGGTCCCTGTTAACAATTCAAGCGTGTAGGCGTGCTACTTATACATGGGGTTACTGACTTTTTCCATTTTTAAATTGCAAATTTTGTATTTGTTCGAATAAGCCTCTAGGTATCCTGAGAATTGGTATTTGGGAAGAATAGTGTATCAAGTTAAGCTAGAAATGATTAGCACAGTCATGAATTTTCTTTGCATCCTTCAAGGCGAGCTTTCATTCATGTTTGCGCGAGGAGTGACGTGCAATGCGTGCTATGTGAAACGCAAGGGAAGAAAAAGTTTTCTCAATTGATGTGGTAATTGCTCATAGTCAACAACAACCTTCTGCATGTTCCTGGAAATAAATTGGAACCTCGTTCGGAGGGTTTGTGCTGTACACATCCCAAAGGAGGATCACGCAGGCCAAGTGTTTAAGTATCAAAACAAACTCCACCAGAGGTCTCTAGTGCGCTTCGAACTTTCAACAACTCTGAAGTTTCGAGTTGATCGGTGCATAAAGATCGAGTGAAAAATCTCAATCTTCGAGGAAACGTTCTATTCAGGACGAGAAATTGAAAACCTAAAACTGTTCTACGGAGATAACTGGGCAACTGGAAATACAATTAACACGAACATGTAAATTTTCCTAAAAAACAAGAGTTTAAAAACCAATGTTCCGAGTTTCGACCACGAGTATGGATCACTACAGGGTTACATGTAGACTGTTGTACGGCTTGCATGGAACATCAATTTCAGTACGACAGAATCAGCAGATTACTGTAAGTTGGAAGATTTTGATGGAAAGAGTTGTGCCTTTGTCTTTCAGTGGATGAGGAAGGGGGACCTCAACAAGTCCAGCCAAAATAATCTTCTTAAGCAGTAGTATGGTCCCGTAATTGAGATTGGTGGGCACATTGATCATATAAAATAGACCTATAGTGTGGCACTTATCAATATACGTTGGGAATTTGATCACCCAAAAACGACAAATCCACATTACTCAGGGGTTGTAGATGGGGGAAGGGGGATGTTGAAGGTTCAATATTGCTATTGTACATTTAGTTTACAATAATAGTTTGAACAACTTTTCTCCTGTTGTGAAACATCACCTCCACAGTTGAAGGTAAAGAGAGTAATATTTCTGTCAGGGAAGTTTCTGTCATAGTTTCAATATCAACAGCTTGTGGAAGTTGATGAATAAGTTGCCTAGTGCAACCTACAAATGAAGTCAAATTAAGTGTCTGATCTCCATAGTAGAAAAAAATTTGAGCATATCATTTCTTTGCACATTACGATTTCCTAGAACTTGACCTTTTATCGTTGTAATGTGATGCGCACCGCAATCAAACGAATCATCACGTGCGATGCGAAATGAAACTATCTACATTCCGGTGCGCAAACACTGAAGCGAGCGCGATTGTAATAAATAAAATAGCACATCATTCACAATCTGAAATAGTTTATTTTCCTTCTGATCCTCATCGAAGGTGATCGAGGTAAATTCAAAGTTTCGAAGAAATCATCACCTGTAATGCAAACACCAATTTGTTTACATTCCGCTGCGTTAACATAAAAGGTAGCGCTGTTTACAATGAACAAATTGGGAAGCATGTTAGTGAGTTTCGCTGCGTTACTCACATGATAATACACGTGTTTCGATTCCTTGTGTTAGAGACATTTTCCTTCCCGGTGATTCATCAATAACTCAAATCAAGCAAATCTACTGCTACTGCTCGCTCGGAAGCTGATTAGTGGTGATAATTTTAGAATTATCCCGCCCAATTGTATGGTTGGTTAGGCACGTGTGCTCCGATAAAGCTAAATTTTCCTTTTTGCTAAAGAAACCGCTTTTTGACGCTCTTTCAAACGTGTACCAAACTGACGTTTGGTCTGTCCGATGTATTCGTTGTCACAGTCATTGCAACGAATAGAATAAATAGCGTCGGTTCGTTGTTCTTTCGTGACAGGATCCTTAGGTTTGGTTAACTCCGCCCACACTCCTTTGAATCGTGACGATGGCGTCTTGCTTCCTGACGCCTATTTACACCTCGTCAGAATAAAGGTAGCTAATTAGTGATCATATAAAAAGACCTCTTGTTGCAGCGTTTAGACCACCCCTAATGAAGGCACTAGACAGGAGTGTCGAAACGTTGGGTCTATGAACATTAACTTCTTCAGTTACATTCATTAAAACTGTTAACCAGAGTAGCATCAAACCATGTCTGATTGTCCACCTGGTTGCTGTGTGAACTTTAATATACTATAAAAGTTCTTTGTTTTACACAACAATGTAATGCAAAGGAAGCTTATAGCACTGAATAACAAAAGCACACGAGTGGTGCATTGTCTTCGATCGCACGCGCAGCAAAATCGTATATGTGCGTCTGACTACCCTGCGTCTGAGCGTATGAAATTCGTCTGCGAACTTAATATACACACGGGCGGTACTACAGGTTGAACTTGAATTGTATCATTCGGTACATCAGGCTTCCATGTACAATTTTTGTTGAACCAACGTGACAGGTCACAGTTGTCCTACTGGGTTTTGCTCTCACTTTCCATCTCTCTATTTCTGAGCTACGATTTTTTGTAAATGATCCATGTTTCGTTACAGGAGATATCCGGTGAAACGACTTTATTTCGTTTGGACAGAAGTTGTAAACAGCACTGCTTTTAGTAAATCGATGTTTTGAGCTATTGAAAAAGCTATTTGATCACTGCAAAAATCGAACAAGGGTCGCTTTGTAATTAGTGACCAGTTAGTGAATCGTTGACGATTTTGGAACACTTTTCTTGAGCAAGACCTTTAAGTGTTTACGAACCTTTCTTTTCCGCAGCTTTTACTTAATTTTCTTAACTTGTATCCTTGAAGGTTCGCGATTTCAGTGTCGTTTACAGTTTGGTTGTTTAATAATTCCTTTTTACAGTTAATCTGCAGTCACACATACTTTTACTGCTTACCACAGCTTTTGAAGATGCATGAAGAACAGAAGGTAGTTGTTGTGTTTAAGGCGAACGGCCAGGCTCTCGTGAGGGCGGTGCAATGCCTGCCGAACTAAACGACTAATCCAACCCATGGCTGAAAGTGCAAGGCCTTAGGGCTGGGTTCACCATAAAACATGAGGGTCACCAGACACCAACTTTGTTGGGGAATCGAACCCCACCTCGCAAAAATTAAACACGCTCACACCAAAAATTATACACACTTTCTCAATAATGAAAAGAAAACTAAAATAACCCCTAGCAAGCCAAGGGGAGGCACGCAAACAAACAAATAAAAAAACATTAATAAGTTGTACGGAGAAAGTATGCCGTAAAACAAGATTATAAATCGACCCCACCGTCAGGGCTCAGTGATGATGTAACCACCGACAGATCGATTTAATCGCCGCCACAATGGGCTTTGCGTATCAAATTGTTTAGGCTGAAATGTATCCCAAAGCAAAACAGCCCACAATAGGCAATGGGTTTTATTTGTGAACATAAATCGATGCGATACTTCCTGCGGTAAGAAAGCCTGGAAAAGATTTGTTTTCCGAAGCGCCCCGTAACTTGAACGCAGTGACGACTGTTGTTTGAAATAGGCTCGCAACGGAGGTGTTGACCCTGCTTTTCGTTTGGAACTTCGAAAGCAAGTATCAAAACTTTTTCCTCCGTCTGCCATGTAAAAACTTCGAAAGTTTTGATAACTTAAACATTCAAACTTTGAAACATTCATATTGATTTTACTCATCTAGGAAGACACTCCCACAAAACAGCGCAGGGACATCGACTGCGAAGAATACAGGGTCGAAAACACGTGCAATGGCGAAGCGTATACGTCATTTCCAGTTGAACCAATGACATCACGCCATATAAGTTGAACATCCCAAGGGATCACGTTCAAGCCAATGAAATTGTACAACATAGCAAACGTACCATGGGATTACCATTTCTTTTCCGAACCAGTAATAATTACCTTGTTAAATTGTCCCACTAACACAGCACCACAGTTTCTTTAGAAACTAACCCTTTTATTCATTGATCTCCAAGTATGCTTTGCTCCCAAATAAAAACAACACGTAATAACATATGTTTCTTGCAACGTCCGTTAACTTCTTGTCTCAGTTATTATTCACTACTAAGTGCTATATTATGCCCTATGTTAGTTGCAATCATTCCCGGAAGAAGTCTCTGCTAAAGACGAAACGCGTCGGAAGAAATATGCAAAAAGTTACAACAGCAAGAAGAATTTCTTTGTGCGGCTCACTGGCCTCCGCAAAAAAATAGACTGTGAATCAATAATAAGAAAAACGTTGTAGAGATAATGTAATCTCTTCAAGCTAATTGTTCTGGAAGAAATCCCAGTTTCAGTTTTTCCTTGTTGTCCTTGTTTGGTGCAGGTGATTCTAATGATATGTTTGACATAATGGGTTCTCTATGTCATGTTGCGTTTCGATAATCGTTCTCTTCATCACGTCCTCTTGAGTGACTCAAAAATTAAATTATTTGACTATGTAAATATAAAATACCGGTGTCACTGTTTTTATATCTTTAACAAAAGTTATAATGGCTGTATTAAAGCCCTTAACTCTCGTAAGTTATCAACATATTGCTTCTCCCTATAATATCTACACATTACCGAACAAACTGGTGATGAGAATACTCAAACTCATCAGCTGGAAGTTATCTTGATCTAGGACCACATTCTTGTAACTTTTCAAGTAAATATGCGAACTGCAAGGGAGGAGAATTAACAATCAGAGATTGGGAGTTTGATAAGGTTAAGGATAAGTACATTTTAATTCCAACAACAAATGCTACAGCAATAACTAAGTTGCATAAAACCCTAAGCAGGAGCTCCTGTAAGGGCTCCTGCCCTAAGACATTAAACTACAAAAACAAAGCAAAAAAATTGAAACCAACATTAAAAAACACGAATACAAACAAATGACAAAAATGCGGAAGGTAAATTGATTCTAAAAATGATAAATACTTTATTGATTTTAACGTCATCTTCGCCTCTGCATCGCGCGAGAAGAGAAATGTTCTTAACTCAACCGAACATATCAATATTGCTAAAAAGGTAATAACGCAGCCAGAATCTTACTGAGGCGCCACTAAAGAAGGTTTAAATTGGTGTGACAATAGACAAGAGCTTAGAAAATAATCATGTGGTTTCTTAAACGCATTAGTCAGCCCTCGATAATAATTATTATGACAAAATAAGTGAGTTGTGGGGGAACTTTTAATATTACCTTACGGGAAATAAAATATGATTTTCAGTGAGTCTTTTTTTCTTTTAAATTCTGGTTTTCTTTCACTGTCCTCGTTTTGTTAATTTTAACACGGTATCAGCTCGTCTACCAATGCTACCTGTCCTTGGTTGCAAGGTCTCGGCCCCTTTCATACCTTTTTTCATTGATTTCTCTCCGTCAAGTTAAGTCATCGTCTATTCCTCTTTCCTACTGAATTCTCAGTTATAACATCTCTGGGATGGTAGTCGGGGACATTCTGCTGATATTTCATCCTGTTAACTGGAATATACCTGATTTATGATAACTTTCCATGCGGTGAATTGTGCTTTAGATCTGATGCAGTAGAGAAAGTGGAGCTGTTTGACGATCCTGAAGTAGCAACAAACTCCGCTGAAACACCATCGTCTAGGAATGAAGTTCAACCACAAGAAGCAGATCTGAGGAACGAACTGTCCAGGCTGCCGGAGCATGCTGATAAACCTGATGGTTCTGGTGAGTAGGATCATAGAAAGTGTCTCAATGCCGGTTCATGATAACGTGTCAATTAATAATTGGTAAACCTGTTAGCTAGAGACCTTTGTTGATGTAGTTTGGTTTCTGTTGAGGGTAACGGAAAATGCCTTAACTATATATTAATCATGTTTTGCTTTGGATGTTAAGAAAAATTTTCGCCAGAAGGTTTCTTGTATTGCGTTAGCAACAAAAGTATAAGAAATTTTTTAATTCTTCCAAGATGTCATCGCATCAAGGGGATTCTGCTAGAGGAATTTTTCTCTTTTAGAGTTAGTGTGCCGTTTTTTCAAGGTAGATCTCTACGATCCCCTTACCCCATGCATTGTGGGCTTATCGTTATCTGAGGCCTTCGTTATGGTTGTTCTTTGAAAAAACACGGTCAAGGTACTTTTTTTCGTCGGATAAGCTGTCTGTCGTGTTGCATACCAGTTGCGCTCGTCGCGTTAGAGTCCTGATAGTTGTGGCTTTGTGTGATATCGGGATGTGGGATGACTCGTCCAGTGTTCTGTCGGTATGTGTCAGTTTCCCGTAAACTGTTCCAGCCGGCTGTGTGTTCCCCGTTGAACACCTAAAGACGATTGGTCAAAGCGGGGATAAATGATTACCACAGAAGACTCAAACGCTACAAAAACAAAGTACAGCAACTACACGACAGACTGAAACAACCGATAGCTTCTGGCTTACTTGACTCTGTTATGACCATTGTCGACAAACGAGCCAACAAAACGAATGAATGTGCCCGTACTGGACATCAACAGAGACTGACACGACTGCTACGCAACAAAGAACAGAGACGAGGTAAACCGGACGAAAGCTGGGTGTGGAACATCTCTTCCTGTCCCTTAGACATGAGTGAAACTCGTGTACTGTCATATGGACTAAAACACTCAGTTACACCGAAACCGGGATACCGACCGAGGCTATTGTGTTGAGGCGACACTGTCTCGGCAACGAGAACTATCTAAGCCGACTAAGGATAACATCAGAAGTAGAATTCCTTCCGCTATACAATCAGCGTCACTTCATGACAGCAACTTGGCTAAAGACGAACAACATGCGCTGAAACGACTGAAAAACGACGAGAAATGGAATTTAAACTGTGTTTTTTTAAACTGAAGATGTTCATACTTGTGAATCATGCTTACGTAAATATTGTTTTACAGAAATTGAGAAGGAACTCGACGATGCTCTGAATAAAGGAGATTTCGATGATATTAATCAGAAAGTGACTCCAAAAACCCTGGCAAGCTGTAAAAGCAATACCTTACTCAAAACGTTTCAGGTTAGTCTTATAACTTTACCTTAACCGATTTTACCTGCACACTTAACCTGGGGCTGTTTTGCTATACCAAGTGACCTACGTGATCCTTAATTTCTGTGAGTTGGTTGCACCACTCCTCATTAGCCCTTCGAGCTTTTCATACTCATATTACTCTCTCAACCATCTGGCTACAAAACTACAAAAAATTGCGTCTTGTTTTCTCGAATTGTACTTGTATCTTAATTAACCTTGAATTTTCATTGGCTTGCATTGATATCTGTATTTGTTTTCCCATGGTTGTAGCGGCGCCTAACCCTGTACATAGAAACAATAGCCTCTATTTGGCGCGAAAAATATGTACGGATAGTTGTCCACGAAAAATTGTCTATTCCAAGATGCGAACAGTGAATTTTGTGAGCTTCGAGGAACAGATAACGTCCAAGGACAAATGTACAAGCATATTTTTGCGCAAAATACAGTCTATTGTGTTAATTATCCTTAAAAAAATTTTGCAACGCGCGTGAAAAACGTTTACGAATAGCTTACTGTATGAAGTATGGGATGTTTTCTTTTGAGTGTTCACTGGTATAAACTTTATAACAAAAATATCTTCCTCTGTAATAACCACAAAACGCTCTCTCAACTTGATTCAAATTTTTAACGACGACGTAAGGTTCGAAAATTGGGGAATGTCACTTGGTTGAAATGATCGAATATCACCTTGTTTTAGCTGTCACGTGCTGCGTTTAGACCAATCGCGCGCTTGCAAAATTATTTGACAGATCATAAATACATAAAAGAAACCAACCAACACACGACGCCGATGTCGACACCGAAACCGACGATGAATACGGATTTAAATCCCGAAAATGCCCCCTCAACATGAAGATCTAGATAGATTCGATATGTACGTATCAGTTTGCATAACCTTGTACTGACGAAACCCTAACCGGCGAAACTTTTAACAAATAGAGAAGCCTTGACTGTGCTCTGTTCTGTTGTATAGCACGCAGGAAGCGGCAAGAGCACGAAAGAAGTGTAGTGAGAAACACGAGACGTAGTAAAACAGAACAGAACACAGTCAAGACTTCTCTATATGTTTTATAATAAAGAATCCGTTAAATTCCCCAAGCATAACTTTCAATTTTCAAAACAGACTTTATTTTCAAAGCAAACAACAGTGTCGTCAGCATGCTCTATACTCTCATAAAGCACGCTACAGTAAGCCAATCAGAATCCCTGGTAGAATGGTTCAAATAATCTGATTGGCTATACAAGACTAAAACTGTCAAAAATGTCAAACCATCAAAGTTCAAAACTCATCAAAGTTCATATTCTGCAATAGTTTACAGACCAAAATAGTTCGGCATGTCGAATTTAACACTTTTGCCTGAAGTTTTTTAGTTTCTAATACAGAATCTGAAAGTGAAATGTTCAGTAACATTCGGCCCAATCGTGGCTCACAAAAATACGCAAGTTATTTCACATGCCAAGTAGAAAACAAACTCTTCAAGGCGAGTGTTTTATGAATGAACGACAGCCGAATTCGCCAGGAAATGAAGATCGTTCGGAATGACAGCGCCGTAAAACTCGGCTGCAGTGACTGATGTGGCCTTCCTCTCAACGCATCGGAAAGGTTATCAGAGCAAGCTCTTATTTTTCCACTCGAAGGGTAGTCGATTTAGTTCCTGAGGCTTGCTCCACTGCGATGACCAAAGATCGCCATGGTGAACTAGCCGTGATAGACTTCAGCATGATCGCAATCGCTCTGACACCGTCATGATTAGTGCGAATTTTAGAAGTTATGCCAGGTTATGTTTTTCATCATCCCTGTTTTTTTCTGTTTTGTTTTTGAACACGAAACTTTATATACTGTACAAGTGCTAGCTGTGTTTGATTTTTATTACAGTAGGTAAACTTGCAATCTAACTAAGCGTGAAAACCTTTAAAACTCGGACTGTTCATTTTGTTTTATCTTTGAGGATTTCTGTCTCTGCTCACGTCATAGTTAGGTAAATTACTGCGCCTGGCATTTTTTCAAACCTTTGCTCGCTTGTTCCGAAATTTCACTGTCAGTTAACGAAAGAAAAGCTAGAAAGAAGTCCCGGGAAAGGTCGGACATAGTACAATTTGGCAGGTGGCGTGACAGCTTTAGTTCAGTTCTATGCTCTATACTCTCATAAAGCACGTTCTTTTAACCAATGACAGCACGCGTTATATCCGAACTTTATTATAAGTATATATATATAGAGAGAATAATTCATGGGCGCGCGTAGATATGGAATTTCTCTTCCAGCGTTTAACTCGATAGCTCACGAGTGACGCAGCGAACGATTGAGATGTCGGGTTGAACACGAGAAGAGAAATTCCATATCTACAAGCAACCATGTATTATTTTGTTTATCATATAAACACAATAGCCCTTTACTGAGAAGAAAAGCCGACTTCATTAATAAATGAAAATAAACGAATCGACAATCCCCGAACAACAATCGTAGAGTGCATTGGTGAAAAATGCGTTGAATCATGATTACAAAACCAACGAAGGTCGCAATTTTCAATTTACAAAATTCTCATTTATTGACTTTGTCCTTAACGACGGAAGAAGTCTTTCAGGTAAACGGCCAAAATCGTCCAGTGACAAATCTTCCAGTTGCCGATTTTCATTCTCAGCCGAGAGAAATGCTAACACCAAAGCCACTGAAGACGTAACTTCCAGTTTTCTTTTAGTATATTGGTTTTCTTACCCTTGTAGGAAAGTTTGAATCTCACTGTCTGTCAGCAATACGTATTTTTTAGCGTTTTTAGACGCCATAATTTGAGAAAGCTCCGACAAGCAACTTCTATTAAGAATCGTGAGGGCTTTGCCGTTCATTCATCAACCTGACCGAGTGGCGCCAAAGGCGAGTGACGTATCAGCAGCTGATTTGCTATATCAGTACACGTGAAAAAATACTAGGGAATATTCCCTGAAGTGAAAGAAAAACAGATTATCCGGACTGACGACAAAATACAGAAGCGTGACGGAGAGCAAAAAGACAATATGAAAACATCCGCCGACAAAAGAAGACGCACATCGATGATGGATATCAAGGTGGGGGATGTAGTTCTCTGCAGAAAGGAACGGAAAACAACAGCTTGAAGCCCACATATCACCCGGTTTTACACGTGGTGACTCAGACGACCAAGAAGTGTTCGATACGGATGTACCTCTGGCTAGAGTTTTGGCCGTTTTCCGGCTAACGATTTTGAACTCCATTGAGCCCCAAATATATATGCATGCATATAGCCGCGTAGACCGTTCGACACAATTAATGACACTAACAAATGAATTTCAGTATTGAATTGGTTAATTATCGAAACTTGAGTTGTTGTAAGAACCCTCCTCTCATTCTCAACAACTTGAGACTGAGAGGAGTTCAGAAACATTATCAATGATTTTTATAGAGCCGTTTGATTAACGTAATAACTGTAATTATTTTCTCCCACAGGTCAACAAAGCACTTCAAGATTTAGCACATGATGAGAACTCGGAGAAAGATGATGTAAAAATGCTGGAAAAATCTATAGATGAGTTTATATCAGCCTTAATAGACCCTCTAAAAGTTGACCCCGATACCAAAAAATCATTTCAAAGTTGTTTTGACGATGTGATTGACAAGGCAATCGACACAGAGCAGAAGAAGGTACTACACTAATGATAAAAACGTTTCTAGTCAATTCATCATACTCCACCCCTATAGAAGATTCTAGTGGGAAAGCTGCTGCCCATCTAGGCAACTTGGTACCCTTCTCAAAGCGTAATATAATGCCATTCCAATAAACAGAACGTCATTTCAACGTCATTCTACGGCGAGGATAGTTTTTGGAAAAAGATCGGATCAAAATTTTGTTAATGGTGACATGGAGCTCTCCTGTGATAAATCATGAGTAAGAACTAATCTAAATTCAGCTTATTGTATAAAGTGATATATTGACGATTTATTTTCGCAGTTCATCTCTCACCCAGTGGTGTATGACTTGCTCAACACTACATGGTACCGCTCCTTTTTCTCAACAAGAAAGAAATCATGGCGGTCACCTGGACGCTGGGGATACTTTTTTCTCAACCTTTGGACAGTGTTTGACTTCGTCTTGTTTCCCTTCCTCTTTGCCATTTTCTTCGTTGTGCATTTGATAAAACGGGTCTTGAGGAGAAGAAGAGGTTTGTCATATAGTTTTTTAACATTCATTAAAGTAGTTAACATCTTATAGTAGATGGTAATGCGTTTTTACTTCCCTAGGCAAGCGCTATGGTGGTCAAGGTTTGGACCTGGAGAAGGGAAGGGTGATAGCATTGCCGTAACTCACTCCTGCCTCCTTAAAACTGAGTTACCACGTCAGTTCAGTCCTCCCAACTGACACAACACAGGATTCCTAGCTGTAGCTATGAAACATAAAATTCTTTAAGTTATAGAACATTATTCTTGATCGTTATCCAGTCCTCGCGATGATTTGTTGCATGACCTTTGAAGCCTTACGTGAAAAAGTTCACCTTAAGTCGTCAATTTGGCTTAAATTCAAAATTTTTATTTAATTTAGGTTTTGGCCAATGATTAGTGAAGGGCTAGTTATTTACAGTTTATTTCCGTTGTGAGATAAACTGTGGGATTATTTGTAGGCCTGTTATTTGTTCTCGTTAGATCATAACAGTCATAAGAATTGTTGTGACCGTTATGTCGCCACTGGAACCAAGTCTCGAAATTAGATACCAGCAGCTACTGGGGAGTTGTTTAGATGCATAGCGTCAGTTGAGGTATGTTTTTTTTAACTCATTGGTTTGATGGCATAGCGTCTGATGCTTTTCTTAACTTGCAGAAATTGAAATGTGTTTTGTTTCGACGCTGGACAAGGATGGGCCAAGAGAGGAATTTGATCTAATCAAAAAGACGATGAACTACATCATTCAGGAATATGGCTACCAATCTGCCAGCTACTGTGAGATTTTACGTAAAAACAACAAATTGATTGGTGACATGAACTTTGAAACGAGTTGCACTGGTGAGGCCACACTGCATAATAGGATTGTCGAGTTAGAGCAGCCAAGCTCTCCTGCTCTACTCTCTGAATATCTCGAAGCTGTTTATCGTGTATTCAGAACCCCAAACGTTCGAGAAGAAGCTAAGAAGGTGAGGTATGTCCGCGTGTGACTGATTTCCGCTGCTCTGTCGAGTTCGGTGAGTCAACAAGGGAGAATGGGCTCACTTTTCAACCATTAGCTGGTTATTGGGCCTTGTTAAGGTAACACTTGCGATTGTAAGTTCGGTGACAATTCTATGTAGTAACACTGCAAAGGAATAAGGGTACCTCCAATAATGTACTCACTGTGAAAGGTTTTTGCTCTCTATCATTTTATTCGACCTGTGTTGCTTGTATTGCCTGCAGCCATTTGAAAAATCATGTTCAACTTTGATTGATTTTGATGATCGCACGCTGCATTGATATATGTTTCAAACGGAAACAATTATTTTTCGTCTCATTTTCTTCCTGGAACGAAGTCAAGGGAGTCATTGAGAAAGGGCAAATTTTGCGTTTCCTCGAGCTTCAATGTCTCCTCGACTGATATTGCGACTTGTTGTTTTCCTTTGGAAAAAAACATAAAGTGTGTAGTGTGATTTCCAAATACTCTTATACGAATATTTCCCCCCTTTGATTTATGAATAGTGCTGTAAAGTTAGGTGTCAAAGTAAAGAAGCTGAGCACAACGGTTGATTTGTAGATATACATATACTATCTTTATAACTGGACATAGTTCAGTCAAATTAGAGCAGAGAAAGAAATCGATTGCTCGGTGACTTTCCTAAACCTTTCACCAAATCAACTTTTTTAAAGCTTATTCATTCATTAATTTAGTAATTCATCTTACTTAACATTAACATCTCTAGTTATCAGTTGTGTAGACATATTAAATAAGTGGCGAGCCAGACAGCCTTGATAATACTGACATAAAGGAGTCAAAAAGTTTCAAGAAAATCAGCAATACTTGGAAGAATCAAGTAATATTGATCATAACTGATCAACCTTGTGAGTTTGGTGCTAAAAATTACACTAAATATCTTTTTAAATCTTAGTTTGATTTTTCATCAGGTTGTCGTGTTTTTTCTTAATTACACATTGGATATGTCAATGGAAAAAACTGTGGAGCTACAGAGATTAGTAAAGGATATAAAGGATATGCAAGTTAACATCATTCCCGTCGGTATTGGGGAGAACGCCAAATTATCAGAATTAAAATGGATGGCAACTAAAGATGGCACAGCACTTCACTTTGGAGAATACGAGTCACCCGAGACGTTAGGGACAGCGGTCATACAAGGTAAGTTGGCGAGGTTTAACATTTCTTTACGAACCACACCTCCTCAGAATAATTAATTTCCTATGTTATGTCGGAAAGAAAAAGAAAGTATTACATCCCGTTGTTACAGCTTGAATAGTAAGTGTTTTTTAAACGGTGACGTGATTTAAAGGCTCTAACATCTCCCTCCACTGGCTTTATCATATCCATGTTTAACTTTTCTTGCAGGTATCGAGGGAAAGGACATCTATGGTGAGGACAGGCCTGTTTGGTAGCTATATATTCATAGACCGTTGAAGATTTTTCTCCAATAAGTTTTGACAGATTGTCAGCACTCTTTGAATTTTCTTTCGAGAGTATCCATTCTAAGCTAGCGTCTCACTCCTTGTCTTGCAGAGAGATACAAAGATTACTTTACGACTCCTTATTTCGTCTTTTGTCGCGACACGCTGAGCTATATCACCCTCCTCGTCCTTCTATTCGCTCTTTGCCTGTCCCCTTCAACTCTTTCCTTCAGTCGACTAGAATTGGTTATATCAGTTTTCTTCGTGGGACGCATTATAATGGAGATAGAGCAGTTTATCATGATTAGGCATGAAAAGAACGGAGTGAAAGCGCGCAAAGGGAAGAGAAATAGTGTCGGATCCACCCGCCAAGCATGTTCAGCTGAGGATCCACAGGAGACAAACGAGGCAGGAAATGACAGCATTTTGCTAAAGACGTTTACTGGTTACTTCAGGTATCTAATTTTTTGATCGGTTTATTTTACTTTTGGAGAATTCTAGATTCTCAAACATGTAAAGGGCATACATCTACGTGACCAGTGACCACATGAATTTAACTGACGAAAAAAAGGTAACCATCTTGATAAGGTAACAAAATTGAGCACTATTGACTGCTTGGGTGCTGCAGTATAGCCCACTGTTCATTGTCAAGAGCTGCATCAATCATGATAGAATGCACCATTTTGAATGCTTGGGTACATTAATAGGGGCCAGTAACAAATGTTTTGGTACGCCAATACGAACCCTCGCTCATTGTTTTGCCACATCGATTGGGGCTACTTCACATTAGTTGGGTAGACCAGTATGTGAACCACGAGTCGCCTTCTAGGTGTAATAAGAAGGGCCACTTTAATTTATTTAGGCACAACAGTATGAGTATCTTTTGATTTTTGGATACACTATTATGGGCCACTGTTATTTGTTTAGTTACACCATTACGGAATGATATTCTTTTTTTTAGGTACTTTCAGGTCACAAATTGGGTTCTACCCATGACGAGACATTGAAAATGACCGTACCGCCGAGGTTCTCATTGACAATCTACATACTAAAGTTTTAAATTAAGCAACATGATAATGATTTTGAAACTAACTAGGCAAAAATCTAACAAGCAAGGAAAAAAAAATTGGTAAACCAACAGTTTAAATCTTCCATTTGTAAAAAATGTAACAGCATCATTCATACGTAAACCTATTCTCTTGCATGTGAATGACGTACGCTCTGTGCATTGACTATGTTTATTTATGCTCTTCTAATGCAGTTGATATTCATTATATCTATAGTGACCGCTGGAATTTGCTTGACTTCGTCACTCTTGTTTTGTACCTGATTACCATTATATTACGCATAATCACATTAAGGATCTCCACTGACGTATCTGAAAACAGACCCTTGATTGTGTCGGAGTATTTCTATGGTTTTATTGCCATGTTTCTTGCACTAAGAGCCTTTGGTCAAGTCATAGAGCGCTTGCGGAAAATGGGTACAATACAAATCGCCCTATTCTTTATCATGTCTGATGTCTTGGGGATATTTTGGCAGTTTGTGGCTTTGATACTGGCTTTTGCGCTGCCCATTACAAAGATTTATATCGCTGAGAAAGCTTATACTTCAGGAAGAGATTCCGCGGAAGATTTGTGAGTAGAAATTATGATCTTGCCAAGAAATCTTCGAACCCATAAATAACAGATTCTAACTTGTTGTGCTTATTCATTTTTTTACTCTTATTTTCATAGTGTGAATGTTTTTTTTTAAGTTGGGATGGGAACCTCATGTGTGTCTAGGCGCCCAAAGAAAGTGACATTTGGCTAAGAGCTAATCAAGTGAGATTTAGTTTTTGGATGGGAAGCGTAACAGGAGTTTAAAACTACTTACACCAGAGTGCCAGACTTTCTGTAAAGAGCGAGATTTTTTTACTATCTTTGTGACTCTGTGTAAATTTTAATCCTTCCTTTTCTCCTAGTATTTCAAGGGTATGCAGTGAACCAGGGATACTTTGGTAAGAGTAAAACTATTGTTGTTTTTCATTCCAAATTTTAACATCGTGTACTGATCCTAAATACATCGAATCACGCGGTATCTTCGCAAAACTTGAATTCTGCGTTTTAAATGCTTCACAATCAATTAAGACTCATGGTTGTGAGCTGAATTTGTGAGGCAAAGGAGGCAGCGACCCAGTGCGTCAGCTAGGTTTTACTAGTGTTAATAAATAATGAACGGCTGGCTACCTGTCGTTTCCCTGAGGAAAGGCAAACTTAGGTCTCCCGAGGGGGGGTGGGGGAAAGTGAAAAAGAAAACGCGTGTTTTATAGAACAGGTTCCACTGTAATCCTTCGTGTTTCACCAAAATTTGTCGTTTTTCGACATGAAAACTTTCAGGGAAGACGCCATTAATTTTCGTGGCAGTAGATCTAGAGTTACGAAACAAGAAGTAGATCCGAGTTTGAAGTAACCCTCTTTGCCTTCCATTTCTCTCGGGGCCTCGCCACTCAAAACTTGCACAAGTAGCCTGCTATTCAGTTTCTCCTGTGAAATTGAATAACAGGCATCGGGGCACCTGTGACTCGAAAGCTACCGCAACGCGGATGTTCAGAAATAGCTATGGCGGTCATACTGCTCTCAGTTGAAAAATTGAATGAATGATTTGTTTATCTAACTACTTGCTTTTGAAACTGTTCTCTAGTTGGTGGGACATAGCGACACACCTAACCTGGTCCTTGCTGGGTTTAGCTGAAGTGGATAAGTTGGACGCCACCGACTTTCCTTCCGTTTTTTTTATTCGTCTGCTGTACGGCTTGTTCTTAATCATGGTAGTTGTTCTTCTCGTGAACATGATGATTGCTTTGCTCTCCAATACGTATCAGCAGGTTCAGGTACTAAACAGATCCCTGCCATCACGGAATTAATTTATACTTATCATAATCCAGAATTAAGAGAATATGGGCTCTTTTCGGCAAAAGGTACCAAATAATTTTCGTTGATAAGCTTCTATGATCACTTAAAAATCTATTTTGGCCAACAATATTATGATCCAACTGGTTAAAAAAGTTCCATATCGTACCCATGTTGTTTCTCTGTAAGAATGATGATCAGCCCAAGAGGAACAGCTCAAGGTTCCCGTTAATGATATTGGCGACCTTAAGCAGTCAGGAAGATGTAGATCAATAAAATAGATCTATATTTTTGGTTAGAATTTTGCGAGTGGCAGGATGTGTTTACTGTCTCTTACGGCGCCCCACCTCAGCTTCAACTTAACGCGTATGAGCAGCCTTTAGTTAGAAAGGGAAACTTGAAAGATTTGCCGTCGGGGTCTCCGCTCTCAAACCACGAAAATTTTGGTGATTTCACGACGTTGTTTTGCAGTGGAGGGCCAAGAAATGTAAACAGTTCTACAACGCACTTGCTGAGCTATTGTTCACTGGATCTCTCGTTGACCCATACGTTGCCGATGGCGTTGCGGCTTGCTTAAGTTCCCTATTCCTTTTGTGCAGCGCGTCCGAAATTGGATTCGTAGTTTTGGAGTTAAAATTTGAGGAGTTTTTTGTAAAAAAAATGATATGGAATTTTATTTCTTGTGTATGATATGACAGTTTTTCTCCCGCTGAGGGAGTGACGCCTGTTGTTCTTATTTACTGGTACGTCCTTAGATGCTGTTAAGTCCCTCTTTTTGTCTCTATTAGGATAATTCACTGCATGAGTGGTCTTTCAAGAGAGCCATTATTGTTAGGACTTACAGTAAGAGTCATCCAATACCAGTGCCTTTCAACATTTTGTCTGTCCCACTAATGTTACTCTGGAACATCTTTTATCCGTGTTGCACATCGTCTGAAACTCGTGGTTTGGATGAGGAAGGGCGGGTAAGCTGGTAACGCGTGCTAATCAACTTTTTTTGAGTTTTTATTGTTTTGTTGTTATTGAGAGCTATCGTTCATGTCCGCTCAGTTATTTTACTTTCTGTTTCATTTCTGCTTTTGATTTGAAATTTCTTTGATTCGACAGAGAGGAACCCTGAATAAATTGGTGAAGAAGCTAGAAAGAAGATACATTGAGAAGTACGGTTATGAATTTCCCCTCACAGGTAGGGTGATATGCTCGAGTAGTGTTCATTACTGCGAAGATCCCTTTCATATTCATATGATTTTGTTAACACCATTCAAAACAGGCTAAGTTAATGGGTGGTTTCTATCTTTTTTTAGAGGAAAGAAAGATGGATCACTTGGTTAGACAAAATGAAGGAGGTCGGAAAATGACTAATCAGATTGTACGGGAAGTATTCCAAACGCATGGAAACAAGGCGAAGAAACTTGCGTTTGGCCAAAGTGTGAGTATTTTTCAGGCCCACAGAGGTTCCCCACCACACTTCATAGACCTTACTACTACTCCACGAGGAGAAACCTTTTTTATGTTTTTTATTTTACAAAAAAATTTTTCCTTCATGCAACTTTAAATGTCAAACGGGGAAAAGTACTGAGTACACTTTGTGTCGTATTTCCCTCTTCTTCTGAAGCTTTTGAAGTAGATTTGGGATGTGTGCGGTTGTGAGTACTTTAAAATGATGTTCAGTTTTAACTGAGTTTTTTGATTATGCATAAAAATCTAGTAAAAGATATATGAGCATATAGATATACACAACTACATTTGCAGAGTTGTGTAATTATTTTTGTCTGTGTCTCTTTGCCTCACTTTTGGGTACGTACCTCATGTAACAGGAATTTTGTTTGATCATCATTTGAAGGCGTGGGATAACTCGCAGGGAATTGCTGTGGATGGCTGCCTCCTAACTTACTTAGGACCTGATTTCTGCGAAAAGTGCCGCGAAGATGGAAAGCGTACCAAAATTCACAGTGCCAAATTAAATTCTCCCTTTACAGAAGAGACACCACGATTTGAGGTGAGGGTTTGATTTACACACACAGACATACCTACATACATACATACACGCACACACACAGACAGACATACATGCTTACACACACACATTCATAGTTTACCATATAGCCCCACCCCCACTCTTAGGAGCTCCTCCGCCATACGAAGAAAACTATTTGCGAACAACATATGTCGATCACATAATTCCTGCTACACGGTGAAATCTCTGGGAAAAGCGACATAAGTACACCTCTTCTTGACCTTTTTCCTTTTGAAAGCCCAGGTGCTTATAACTTTTCTTTTGTAGGCGCTCTTACTTGTTTCTAGTTTAGAGAACTATGATATACTTACTTTAAAGAGTGAGCTTAGTGAGGTGTTCATAGTTGAAAGACGAGACCGTCATCTTTTTGCAGGTACTCATTCAGGGGACTGGAGAGGGGCGCATTATAGCACTAGGTGTTTTGAATGAAGATTTCGACTGTCACAAAATACCTGGTTGTGGTATTGGAACAGTTGGTTACCATGTAGACGATGGGAAAATATTTGAAGGTGGCTACCCTGAAGTGGGAAGAGAGATTGAAGGTATGGGTTACTTTGACTGCAGGTCACGCATCTACTCAAATTTTTACGGAGGTTTCGTCCCGTTACAGTCTTTGTTAGTTCTCCTTGAAGTAAAATGAGTTGGCCCCTACCCTTACCAGTTCGCTCCTAAATCTTTCCACTCGTTCTCTGACGGTAGAATATATACTCCTTCTCTGGTGAAATCAAGTTACGTTTCAAACGTGTGATTGTTTTTTCGGAGAAGGATGGAGTTCGAAAGCTCGATAAGTTGTAGTGAAATGCCTGGCACAACGACGCAGGAGTGCGAGTATCAAACTACAAAATACGTATGTTGGTCATTGCTTTAGAATGTGTGTTGTCTCCTAAAGAGGCCGTTTTAGTCTAGTTTGTTCATAAAAGTGTTTCGTGAAATTTTCTGCGAACACTAGCATAAAATAGTGTGAACCACGTTAGATAAAGAGCGGAATAATGCAGCGACTTTACATTACTTGTTCGGTAGTCGTGCGTCATTTCACACGGCTGATAATTTTCATGTTGATAGAAGTTTTTTTATGGTTTTGCTGTGAAATTTCATGTTGATCGATATAAATGAAGATTTCAGAAAAATATGTTCTATTGAAGGTGACAAGTTGAAAGATTTTGGGGGTGAACTGGTAAAGGGGAGGGGGGGCGGCGGAGCTTGCTTTACTGCAGGAGACGAACTCAAAGATGTTTTAGGGGCGAATTGGTAATGGGGCGAAATCTCCAGTTACCGACTAACAACTTTCTGATGGCGCTTGAAAACGCATTCAAGGTTTTACTGTCGTCCTTAATCCAACCTTGCAACAATAAATATCTGATTTCAGAGAAGAAAGAGATTAGAAATGTTAGTTTGTAAACGTTAAGGGGTTCAATTTGAATTTTACCCAATGTTGTTACACCTTAAGTTAACTTTGTTTAATTTGTTCTCTTTTTGCTGTGTTCTAAATATCTTATGTTGATGACTTAGGAGCCGTGGCTTACCGCGGCGATCTCATCGCTTGTGAAGTTGATTTTAAAGAAGTCCCTGATGGTAAAATCTCTGTGTTGTTCTCCTTGAACGGTGAAGAAGTAGGGCGTTCTTCAGTGGAGTATAACTCTAAACAAACTCTATATCCCATCGTCTCAATGGGATCTCCAGGCATTAAAGTGCTGGCAAAGGTATGTTCGAAATAGGGGGAGAGGGAGGGTGGGGGAGAGGGAGGGTGGAGGAGGGGGAGTGTGATGGGCTAGAAATCAAAGCTTTAAATGGTTGGGCTTTATTAGTGATCTGCTAACATATCATACCTCGGCACGCTCCCACGGCCTCAAGGGATTGTTTCCTCGGCCAATTGGAAGCATAAGGCAAGGGAGCTCTCTTTGTGGCAGCTCTCAAACTCTGAAATAAATTACTCGCCCTGTTTATAATTACAAAAAAGTGTTTAAGCTAAATGTGTCTGTGCCCTGATTGACCATACGGGGTGACCAGGCGAAGGAGGCATATATCACATATCATAATGACCATCGCCATCTTATTTTCTTTGTCAACTTTTAGCGATTATTTTTTAATTTGAGACGTACGATTTCCTCACGTTTTAGATGTGCTATCGAGACCGTTTCAATAGAGTAACAACTGAAGACATTCAGAAGGAAATTAAAATTCTGCAGGATAATTTTCAGGATCTGAAGAGGATGTTGCTGGATCTGAGAAAGAAGTAGAGGAGAAAGAAGGGGCAGGAAAAGTTTTTAAGAAACTGCCATACATCAGGTGATGATGTAAAATCGTGCACTTTGATGGATATGGGAGTTGACCAGCTGTAATCTTGGATATCTGTGTGTCGTCGTTATTTTGAATAAATGAAAGGATGCATTTTAATGCAAACTTTATCTATAGCTGTAAATTATATTTCTTGTAAAACTGCAATGCAGTTTACTTATTTACGAAGAGTAGAGAAGGTAAAAATCCATGCACTCATTCTCATTTGTAAGTTACGTTTGCTTTATATAATTCTTTGAGTTCAAAGATCTGGTCAAAAATGATGCATCAACAACGGCGCATCATGTGCCTCTTTTTTTGTGTGTGCATCACATTTTGACGTCATCTGTGATGATTGATCACTGAACAGACACAAGGCAACACAGATTCTATTTGGTCAAATAATGAAATTTAATTCCGCAACTTACATCGCCTCGCACTCAAAAAAAAAGAGTTAGATGTAGAAATGTGCCATCTTCGTTTTCTCCCTGTATTTTGGAGGAGATGACTTAACATGTGAAGAGCAAATAGGCCATCTAACATTGACTGCATGGAATCACGTGACATTAACCTGGAAGTCGTAAAGAAAAAAACCAAAAACCAAAACCAAAACATCTTTGATAATTACGGAGGCGTGCAGTAATTTCTTTGAAAGGTGTAGCTCGCGGAGAGCCAATCACTCTCGAGCTTTGTGCTTAATGGATATATGTCCTTCACGTATATTGATGTCCATTGACGGAGTTTTTTAACCTCTCTCTGCATTATCTGAAAAATATGAATATCTCATGAGTCTTGTTGATGAAATTTGGTGACTTCACAGAGCTAATTTTCACTCTCAACCTTTTACCACCTCACATTAAGTATGCTTATTCCATTCTGTTTTCTATGCATTTTCTCTGGTACTGACGAAGAATTAAATATGCTCAAAAATCAGCATCCTCTCAAATTGGTGATAATTTCCGTCTTTCTCATGACTTTATTGTTTGATTCAGGGATACGGTAGTGTGACACTCTTTACAGATAAAATGGATGATTCGGTTGAGATCTTTAGCCTCTTTCACTTCTTTTTTCTATTCCAAGCTTTCGTTGATCTATGGAATCTTCAGTACGGTTTGACAATTTGAATGGCGCGAAGACGGTGAAAGCGAGTTTTCGATCGTCTTGTTGGTGACCTTTCCAGTTTTTTTAACCTCCATCCCTCATTTTGCGGAAAGACATCTTGCTCCAGATCTTCTTCGCCATTCGCAGGCCAAAGATTTCAGTCCAGAGGGCCAAGATGATTTAAAGCGGCGGCCAAGGGAAAAAATGATTTGATCGTGTAACATTTTTCCCCTGAGCAGTGGAAGCCTTTTAACCCTTCAATTCCTATGAGTGACCATGACAAAATTTCTCATTAAAATATCAATGAAATATCAAGCAGACAGGCTATGAGAATAAATAAATATATCAATCAAGGGATTGTTAGCTGATCTAATACCAAATTCTCCATACTAACAACTTGAGAACTGTGTTGCAGACAATAAGGAGAATTGCTAATTAGATCTTGGTAGTAAAAAGGTTAATATGTGTTCATGTATTTATATGCTATCGCACGGTGGGAATCAACTTAGGAATCAATTTCTTTCCGGACGCAATATTTGTACTCCCGAAAAGGTACATATATGGCGTCCCAATATCGACCGCGTTCCCAAAATTTCTGTCGGACAATTTCGTTACTAGAATTTTCCTGAACGAAAAATCAGTCTCCAATTCTCGACCTCTAGATCGCATGGACTGATCTTGTTGAGGCCCTTAAATCTTTTACTTTTTCCTTTATTTGAGATCATTGAAAATGGACAGAAGAAAAATAACCAGAAGTAGAAGCATAATAATCACTTAGGCGAATAAGAATTTGTACGACAAATAAATCTTGGCAATGCAATCACCGTCGAGATTTTTCGTTTTTTATTAACATTCAGGCTGGATACACTTTATCTGTTACGTTGTTCCGTTTCTCATGGTCGATTTGTTCAGGCTGTATTCATTCAGATTCTTCACATAGTAAAGCTCAAATGGTTGGCCTCGTGCAGAAGGTTGCTAGCTCTCTAAGGAAACGGAAAGGCCCCTGACAACGAAGTTGTCTGGTTCCTTAAGGGATCGGAGAAAAGACTGTGATCAAACTACTATGAACACGAAGAGTATGGTTTGGTCAAACAAAAACAGCGTGAAACTCTGACAGAAAACGACCCTTCAGCATCAGTCGGCTTTAAAATCACATATTCTTTTATATGGGCCCTTCCTCTGAAAATAATGGGAATGGTTACAGAGGCTGCTAAATACAAAAAATTGCGAATATTTGATATCAACACACACTCCGCTGTACACAGAAATATCTGAAAGGCGAGGACAAAGGCGTGTAAGCATAAGGTATTTCCTGAGGCTGTTTTGTTTTGCACAATATTCTTACTTTTTGATTAGAATTTGATCGGTATTTTCCAGCTCATCATATTTTTGTGTAAATTAAGGAACTGTTTAATTCTTTTCAATATGAACGCGGGAAATTTAAATATTGTCTCTAAAGTCTGGAAAAGTGCCTGACTTATGGAAATCGGCTAATATCACTCCAATTCACAAGAGTGACAGCAGGGAACTTGTAAAACAACTACAGATCAATCTCATTATTGCCCATTCCAGCAAGTTTTTGGAGCAGATAGTGCATACTGCTGTCTACGAGCATATTGCACCCTATTAACTGAGTGGCAACATGGATTTGTCAAAGGCAGATCATGTGAAAGTTTTCAAGTTTCATTATTTCACACTGTTTACAGAAAAAATAACTTAACATAACATGATTTACAATGATATAGAAAAAATACAAACAGAAATTAACTAGAAGAAAGAATATTTAATTGTGTACAGTGACCAAAGTAGCCAATGAACTTTCGAGTTGGCCGCTGTCATGTGTAGATATTAGTTGGGCTTGGCCGCATGTTTAGTATAATTTAAATTAATAGTGACATCACAGACGAAATTGTTATCGTAAGAGAAGAAAGACATATATAAATGCAAGTTAGAATAAAAGGAAAACTGCATATTGTGAAGCATTATCTTATAGAGCTAACAGTTTAACTATGGTTAGTTTTGAGTACTCAACAAGAATCTTTTATACCGCTTTTTGAATAGCATGTATGGAAAACGTTTAAATTCAGGTGGTACAGATTCTCAGATTTTTATTGCAGAGAATTTAAACGTAGACATACCATAATTAGTGTATACTGATGGCTTAAAGAAGTTTTGATTTGCAACATACCTGGTATTATATGAGTGAATCTCTGATGCAGGTGTGAGAATATTCAGTAGTACAGCTGGGGTGTTACTTTTGTCATTCTTAAGTTTATATGTAAAAAGTGATACTTTTAGTCTGTAAATATTTTCAAGTTTCAAGATTCCAAGGAGATTATAGTAGGGGTTGACATGTTCTCTGCCATGAGCAAAGGACATGCTTCGTATACATCTATTCTACTCAGTGCAGATTTTATTTAATCTACTTTTGTAAGCAGCACCCCAGCTGGTAAGACCATAGTTTAAGTATGGATAAATAGGGGTATAATGGGGTATGAAAATCAAGATAGTGTCTTAACTTATTAATTATAACTACATTCTTTTCTAATTTATTATTTACATGTTGAATTTGGGATTCCCACAGTGGATGCTCATAAAGATGTATACCTAGATACTTAATATAATTTTTGCAGTCAATATTGCGGATATTTAAATGTATTTTTTTCTTTGATGATGTGAAACACAGCTAGTTCTTACCTATCACTAGTGGGCTGCGGCCCTTGACGTAGCATTCTTGGATTTCTTCAAGGCTTTTGACAGTGTGATTCATCAACTTTTATTGCGAAAGCTCTGTAGTTTTGAAATCTCCGGGTTACTTCTGCTCCGGTGTGAAAGTTATTAAAGCAACCGTCAACAAAGAGTGGTGCTGGATGGAGTCTCCTCTTCCTGGGCTGAAGTTACATCTGGAGTCCCACAGGGTTCTCCTTGTTGGGGCCCTTATTCTTTGTCATTTTTATAAGTGACTTACCCGAAGTCGTTCTCCCGGTCAACACTATTACTCTTTATGCAGATGCCTGCAAGGATCATTGATGCTGCGAATGATCAGGATTTGTTTCAACAGGATTTGGACAACCTTTTTGAGGAAGAGCGTTCGAAATTGCCAGAATTTTCATGTAAAAAAATGCAAAATTATGGCATTAACTGAGAAAAACATCTCTACATTTCAAGCTTTACTTTGAATAGTTATAGACTGGATGAGATCAAGGAATTCAAGGATTTAGGAGTTATTACCAATGAGTACCTCTCATGGAACTCCCATTTTGACAATGTGGTTGCCAAGGCTAATAGAATACTTGGTCTACTTAAAAGAACCTGTTGAGGTTTCGATGATTCGAGGACCCTGAAAACTTTATATTGCACCTGAAAGGACATGGAAAATGTTGAAAGAGTTGGGACAAATATAATTTATATATTATTAATTGATGATAAAAGCTGTTAGGTATGTTAAGCTGCCAGTGCCAGCATCTAAAGCCATCTTTCAGGTACGGCAATTAAGTAACAATGAGAAGTGCTGAAATCAGTAAACTTCATGTAGATCCAATTAATTATTAGAAGAAATTTCAATTATTTTTTAATTTTGATGTTACTTTTGACACACATGCAGTAATCAATAATTCTGACATAATTCCAAGACTTTCGGACAAAATAGTTTCATTCAAGTTTATTTACCTCAGTTGCTTTAAATTTCAGGTAAATTCCGTAAGGTATTGTCACTTTTGGCACTGTCTTGTCCAGATAAAATCTCAAATGATTCAAGGTCAGAATTTTGTTAGAAAGCCATGGAGTTTAACACTGATTGACTCACTGGTTGTTAGATTTGTTAACGGACTGATCGATTGGCATACTGATAACTGATCAGCTTATCAACTGATAATCAAAGTGAAGACTGTCTACTGAATAAGTGACTAACAACGCGTTGGACTCACTAAATCGTTGAGGAACAAGCAACCAAATTAGTGACCGACTGACTGACTGACTGACTGACTGGCTGATTGACCGATTGATTGATTGATTGATTGATTAATTGATTGATTGCACTGCATTGCACTGTCTCACTGTACATGTATTAAAAAAATTTTTTGTTTTCTTGCAGATAAGATGTCATCGGTGAGATAACAGCACTAGACCATAATCTTAATGGCTATCTTCCAGGATTATTGCCTTTTTAACTTAACAATCCATTATGGGTGAATGAGCTAGGTAAAAAAAGGGATATAAACCAAGTTCTGGTTTCTTCAACTCTTTTCAGAGTTGTAGTTTGTCTTGCGATAGTTTATTTCCTCCTTGAATAATAAGTACATGTAGCCCTCAGTCATCTCATGATGCCTTCCCCTCAAACCTTGTTGTGTTATTTACTTCAAAATATGTCAAAACGAAGGGCAATCTTGCTGCGTGGTACATAGAGACTATAACGCCAGCCGAGTGCCTGGAACATCTCATTAATAATAAGAAGTTTTCATTGCTTGCATACAATAAATACGGGCTGCATGGTTTTGGAGCTTCTGTATAAATGAAAGTTTTAAGATTAATGCACACATACAAATTGACTGATTATGACTAAAATGCCAGTAATGTTTATGTGAGATTGCATGACTGATCGACTTGCTGACTAACTGATGATAAAGTGATTGTCAAACTGACCAGATGTCAACCATTGAAAATCTGAATTCTACAGTTTTTTTAATTCTATCTTTTATAACTGACTGATTGTTTGACTGACTGACCGACTGACAGACTGACTGACTGATTTACTAATTGACTGATTGACTGATTGACTGATCGACTGATCGACTGATTGACTCAGACTGACTGACTAATAGACCGACTCAGACTGACTAGCTGACTGACTTGCTGTCTTACGAACTGACGTACATGCATCATTGACTGAAGACTGATGACTAATTACTTGATACAGAAGCTGTTAACTTTGTTTGGGAACTGTTCTCCACAAGAAAGAAATTGGTACTTGGGTAGAATCACTGAATTATTTAAAAAATTTTTCCATAAACTCTTGTGTGCTGTGTTCTCCTTTCTTTTTCTGAAGTGTTATAAAAAAAATCTGGATCACATTTGTAGAGAATTACAGCTTTTTACCGGCGAGAGACAAATAGAGAGACTGGCCAATAATCTTCCTGACTTGTGACTGACAGGTAAATTTAAAAGTATGTTACCAATCGATGTCTTTTAGCTATCTTTCCATCATATATCTAAACGCAGGGAAGGCATTTTAGAAAATGTTAATTTATAAATTTTATTTTTTCAGGATTTATGCCAACTGTGGACCATAGACATTTATTCTAACTTGTTGATGATTGCCTTACTGTAAATCCAAATGTTTGCTGAGGCACATAAACAAATTCTGGTATGAGGTATGCTCTGTTCGAAGTTCACCTCAGAAGTATATTGTACAATGCAACTTGCTTTGTTCGATCAGCAAGCAGAGCACCCTGGTATTCAAAATGGTATCTTACATTCCTGAATTGGTTCACCCAGTCATTGGGTGAATGAATGTGGATCTTTGCAGTGGTTAAATTGCTGTCCAATTTTCCCTTTTTTCGCAAATGAAAAATTTCAAATCTTTCCAAAATATCCTTATGGCTGATAGGCAGCGGTACAATTTTTCTTCAAGGTCATTTTCTTGAACTACTATAATTTGAATTATATCACACCAAAAAAGTGAAAGCATAATAAGCATAAGGATGTGCTCACAGTGAGAAAAGGATTATTTCAAAAGTAAGTGTTGAATCAATCCCCTGATCTGCAAATATTTAGGTCACTGACGTCCAAAATCACTCACCATAGTAGACGATATTGCGCTAAGTCAGGTTTACTTGGCTTCTTCTCCCAAGAGTCCTTACAAAATTCTAAATCTTTCAAATTAACGAAAAAACATATACATTTCATTACACTGACATTTAATTACATTGGTGGTTTCACAACATCAACCGAAAAAAAAACTGTGAATAATGCAAACAAACAAATAGAAAAAATAACCTGTAGAAAAAAAAAGCGTCGAGCTTCAGGTCCATGGTATTCAAGAGCGTTTTGTTCCGTTTCACATTGGACTGTCCACCAGTCACAACCAGAACGCATCTAAAACTTTCGGCTCGGGCACCGCTGTTAGGATTTTGAAACATTTGCAAGCTTTTCTCCAACGCCTCTTGCATGTTTGTTTTCCCGCCAGTTCTTTGCAGTTTCTCCAGTTTCCCATTAGCTTTTTTCAAAGGAAGTGAATGTGAAGACAGGATGCGCCTGATTGGCTACTGTTATAGCCGCGTGTAACGAGTCTCGTGCACTCTCATCAATCAACATTTGAATGGCTTTGATGCCTTTTCGGAATTCAGCCCTGCTGATCGAGCTAGAGGAGCTAGCTAGAGCTAGAGAGTCAATGATGTAAAGAATATCACAGTGGCCACGTAGTCGTCTTTTGAGGCGAGAAGCGTCCGTTTCCGTGCATTTGAAGCTTCTTGCTGACGGAATGTGCTGAAATTCGTGAACGAGAAGGTAAAATCTATTTTAGATTTCTGGAGGGGTGTGAAGTTCTTTGCTGTTAGGAAACATATATCTGTTATAGTAAAGAATATGTGATGCTTTCTCTAAGTATACATTAATACTTCTCTAAGTATACATGAATTCTTTCCTTAGAAATCTTAGATTCATATGGACAATCAGGCGATTATTTTTTGCCACTGTTGACTCTGAAGATCGTTATTCTTATTTTCTAGACATTTTGAAAAGAGAGCTGCATGATACATGATTTGGAAAACGACTGATTGCCTTATTCCAGAAGTTTATCAATTTTGTGAACAATTTTTTGGTTTCCAGCAAGTGCATTAATGAAAATCAGGTGACAATGTGAAGCATGCTATTTATGAATGAATATTTTGATCAGTACGAGAAATTAACACAAATAGCTATGCATATGAGAATAAATTTTCCCCGAACTTTAAAAAAACTTCGATGTTAGTTGAAGGATACAATAATCACGCAACGCAGAAATATATGTGCATATTTTTTTTTTCAGAAAAATGTGTCTTATGCTATTAAGCATATGGCCAGTCGTATTTGTACTATAGGTGACTCTGCGGTATACACGTCTTTCATTAAAATTTTCCTTTGGTTTAATATTTAAAACGTGATTGAATGCGACAGTTTCTCCTGTTACAGATTATCGAAATAACTCTGAGATCAAGTCAAGTCAAGTCACTGGAACCTTTATTGAAACTTTATAAAGAACCACTCATTATTTATCGCCGGTGGGGGGGAAGAGAGGTGGATGATTTTTTTTTTTTGGGGGGGGGGAAGGGGTCTGATGGTTTTCAGGGGAAGCGGAGCGAGCATCAGTCGTAGTCAACAACGTATAAAGGGGGAACGTGACTATTAAGAATAGACTGCCAATGAACTGCAACTGAAATTAGGGAGGATCATGAGAATATTAAAAGACCCCGGCTTATGGGGAGATCAATAAATTTTTTTAAATGATGGCCGGTCGCAAAAGCCAGAGTAAAATTTGAACTCGAACATTCAAACGCATAGATACTGCAATTAACATATGTAACAGGTAAAGTTTAGATTTATTTATATCTCTCTTCTCCTTTTCTTCTGTCTTCGCGCTTGCACACGCGGATTTACCGTACAATTAAGAAGACGGAATACTCTGAGAAATGAATGCTCGTGATAGATGAAAGGTCACACATTTTAACACGCGATATAATTGAAAGTCTCATTTCTGAACATGTCTTATTTCTCAATTAAATCTGCAGAGACTTCACTGGTCGCTAATACAGCTTGCCTTTCTGCTAACCTGATGAGTTGTTGCTAGCCATTTCATCAATGCTGTTAAACTTTTAAAGTTTCTTTTAACGGAAAATATTGTCGAGATGGCCAATGGCTCAATTTTTTTCAGAGATGAGGACTCGTTTGTTATCCTCTTGGCGATATGCCACTTCGTGAGCGCCGGCTGTCATCGCGGAATTGTGCTGATCATAGGCGGCCCAAGCTCCAGCTGAGATGTGAGATGATCATCTTGCACAATAACAGTCATAGTTATAACAATTTACAAACTCATTGGCCAGCGCAGAATTAGTCCACTGAGAATCCGCGGTACTGGCCATATCAATTCACGTCGTTAGAGATATCGCACAGTAAATAGTTTAGTACGAGTCCCTTCAAAATTAATTTGAGATCACATAAAGGTAATCGCAATGTCACAGTCAAGCCATTGCAAAAAACAAAAAAAAAAACAACAACAACAACAACAAAAAAACACACCAAAAAACACACAAGCAAGTAAGCTTACCAAACGAACGAAAACCCTGCTCCTTGATTTTTCGTCACGTACTTCTCAGTCCAGCAAATGTAAACAAAAGAGGAAAGAAAAAATCGCCGCGTAAAGAACTACGGGTTTGAGGTTCCCTAAAAAGATAAGAACGAGACAGTGACACGCAAGAGGGTCTCAATAGGGTTAATCGTTAGCCGTGAAACGGCCGAAATATTTAGCCGTTAGACGTAGAAATTGACAAATTTTAACCGTTAGTCGTAAAAAAAGTTAACCGTAAGAAATATGTCTGGTGGAAACAATGGAAAGGTGTTAACCGTTAGCCGGAAATTGGCCAAAACTTTAACCGATAGCCGTAAAAGCCATCACCCCGTTGAGACCCTCACGCAAGGGGCAACCGAAAGCCAAATGTGCTATTTCCTTTGGGTGATGAAAACTGACCACAATTTTTTTCAAAGCTGAATATGTTTTACGTCTGTTAATATAGGTGATAAGTTTATACTGCAATCATTGATCTTTTAACGAAGGGAGGGGAGGATGGGGTGGGGTGAAAGTGTGAAAGTTCCATGTTCAAGGATCATAAGTTTGTATTGAACTTCTGACTGAAGAGTTGCCCACATCAAAGTTTCTATCGAAGGCAACGGTCTGTGCACTTGTGTGTACCACAAACCTACAGATTCTATTTCTTGTTATAGTCTTAGTCACGTCCATCACCTGTCAAAATTACATTCCTTTTACTCAGTCTCTCAAACTTCGTCTTTTAAGTAATGACGATCCTAATTTTTCCGACAAATCAGAGGCAATGTGCTTGTTTTTCGAAAAACGTGGCTATCCTGTTTCTGTCGCTTAAGCGGTCCACCACTGCATTAAATAAATTGATAGACAGCGTTACAAACGTCACAAAAGGAAAATACCGATCGAATCCCATTTACCCTAATATTTCACCCTCACAATCACACAGCTGAGTCCATCATTCTTAATAACTTCTTAATTACTTCAGAATGATCCCGAAACTGGTACCATCTTTTCGCAACCTTTATTGACATCATTCAAACGCGACAAAGACATGGGCAATTTTTTGATCAGAAGTTCAACATGTACAAACTAATGATCAACACGGAACTTCAAATGGCTGCGCACACGATGCAAAACTGGCCCCTTTATTCATAACGTCGGGAAAATATCGAGATCAGAGCGATCCATTAGATTACTGATCATTTCACGTTTACCTCCGCCAATGTCATCCTCCGCCCTTGCATAACTTGAATGATTTCAAAAAGGTATACATTGGCGAAACATAAACAGGAAGACGAATTAGCGACCATTTCCGAGAAAACCTTCATGACGGAGAAAGTAATGCCAAGGACGCATCCGAACCAGTCGCTAGACACTTAAATCTCTTAAATTATTCTGAGTAGAATATGGAAGTCGTCGGCCTTTCCCTTCATCCAGGCAATTCGGAAAGCTGCAAAACTTTCGAACAAAAATTTATTTATTTTCAAATCATGGGTATTGTCGTAGAATGCGTTGACCCAGGGATAAAAGGATGCTATTACTAGGGCTTTAAGAGTGAGGCTTGCTTTAGATTGACCAATCACCGATGAGAATTTTTGCTGCGTGCTTCTTATGTGCGTTATTTTCGGATATGTAGTCACGAAAACGAGATCAGGTCGCAGACGAGACGGGATCAATCGATTCTTGTTACAACTGCAACTTTGTAGAACTTCATTTTAGCCCACAGTCCCGTAAAGACTACCTGGCGGCCTGCGTAGGAGGATAATGGCTGGCAACTGTGAGAGGTAAGTATTGATTGTGAAAACTTTCTTTGAAACATTCCGACGCAAAGAGCTTTCGAGTGAGCAATATTATGATTCCGAAACAAGATACAAATTATGGCTGTAAAATGAAAACTGAATTTGCGAACTTAAGTGGACTTCGCAACTTTCGGATCACTCCTCAGTCTTGAAGCATTATGCAACAGAATGTTTTCTTTTAAATCTGACAACTTTTAGAATTCCTAACACAACGCTATATACGCAATCCTATTTCCGCGTCCATCGAGTAAACAACAATTCCAGCACGCGTGCAGGCGTGTCGCCTGTACACGAGAGTTTCCGACTTTTTCCGTTGTTAAATTGCAAATTTTGTATTTGTTCGAATAAGCTTTTATTTCAAACTATTTCTTTGTCATTTTTTTGCCATGCCCATTAGTTGTAGGTTTTGCTTCACACGCCGTTATTTGGTTAACTTAGCAACTTTGAAATCCAATCTTCAAGTTTTCATGTAAATATAACATACCGATGACATTGTTTTCATATCTTTAACAAAAGCAATAATTGCTGTCTTAAACCATTTAACTCCCGCAAGTGATCAACATGTTCCTTCTCCCAATGATATCTACATATCACTTAGCAAACTGGTGATGAGAATACTCAAACTCATCAGCTGGAAGTTATCTTGATCTATCACCACATTATTGTAACTTTTCAGGTAAATGTGCGAAACGGCAAGGGAGGCGAATTAACAATCAGATATTATTTAAGGTTAAGTTAAGATATTACGTACGGTTAAGGATAAGTACAGTTTAATAACAACAACAACAGCTTCCTCAATAAACACGTTGCTTAAAACCCTAAGACTTTAAACTACAAAAACAAAACAAAAAAAAATTTAAAAACCAATATTAAAGAACACTAATGCAAAGAAAATGACAAAAATGCGGAAGGTTAATTGATTTTAAAAATGATAAATACTTTGTTGGTTTTAAAGTCCTCTGCAGTAAGTTTCCACCTGTATTTCAAATTTGTGTCACAGGGGGGGCAGACAGACACGCCTACCCCTCATCTTACTTAAAAACAAACTGAAGAAGTAAGCAGATGGATGAGAACATTGTCATCGTCATTTTGTCGCATCAGCATCTTTGAGTGAAGGATTCTCTCAGACCTTTGTTTCTTAGCAGGGCAAATATGAAAAGTAACTCTGACGCAGTGACGCAACATGATATTAATAACTAGTCGGACTTCCTTCCGCAAATATAGATGCTATTCAATGTTCAAGATTGGTTTGAATTTAACCACATTTTCCCTGTTCATTGCAGTTTTCGGTTCTGGTAGAAGACCAATACTTGATATGAAAGAAAACAGTTAATCGAATGTTGACAAATATTTATTCTATAACAAAATCAAAATTCAGTTTTTCACGATTATCAATTTCATCCCTTTTTCTCTTGTATGTTTCTTTATAATTTCAATCACGTCTGAGTTTTGCGTTTCATTACAGCTTTCAACCGTTTTTCGTAATCTTTATCATCAGTGCAAATTAAATTTCACTGAAGAAGAATGCCATGTTTTAAGTTAACTTATGGGTGATTCCCATAATGCACCATTGGAAAAGAAAATAACATAAGCATCCGACAAGAAAATAATTCGTTAATGGATTAGAAGTATTTTAGAAAACAACAGTGTAAAGCCATCTTCAGCTCTGCATCGCGCGAGAAGAGAAATGTTCTTAACTCAAACGAACATTTCAATACTGCTAAAAAAGTAATAACGCAGCTCAGAATCTTACGTCACTAAAGAAAGTTGAAATTGTTGTGACAATAAACGAAAGCTTAGAAAATAATCATGTGGTTTCTTAAACACAATAATAATCCTCGATAATAATTATTATGACAAAATAGGTGAGTTGTGAGGGAACTTTTAATATTACCTTACAGGAAATAAGATATGATTTTGGGTGAGTCTTTTATGAAATTCTGATTTTCTTTCACCATCCTCGTTTTGTTAATTTTAATTCGATATCAGCTCGTCTCATCACTGAATGTAAGGTCACTACCATTAATTACCAATGCTGCCTGTCCTTGGTTCCAGGGTCCACTCAACCCCTTTCATACCTTTTTTCAGTGATCTTCCTTCCGCCAAGTTAAGCCGTCCTCTATTCCTCTTTCCTACTGAATTCCCTGTTATAACACCCCTGGGATGGCAGTGGGGGACATTCTGTTGATATTTCATGCTGTTGACTGGAATATACCTGATGGATGATAACTTTCCATGCGGTAACTTGTGCTTTAGATCTGATGCAGTAGAGAAAGTAGAGCTGTCAGTTATCTCTGACGATCCTGTAGTAGCAGCAGAATCCGCCGAAATACCATCGTATTGCGATGAAGTTCAACTGCCTAAAGCAGACCCGAGAAACGAAGAGTCCGAGCTGCCGGAGCAAGCTGATAAACCTGTTCAACTAATGTTTTCATGCCCAGGCGACAAACCTCTGTTGACGAAGTCATGTCGCCCGCAGGAAGAGACAGTTGAGCTGGTGAATGAGCATCAGAGAATGAAAAGGTTGGAAAGGGAAGGATCGGATTTTCCAAAAGAGGGCTCACGACAATGTCGCTTACCACCTTTTGAAGATGAGCCTATTCGGAGATCCAGTCCATATCGGTAAGCGGAACCTATAATACGGTAACAGAGCAAATATGATTTTGTCGAAGATTCTGAAAACTTGGCCACTTCACACATGCGTATGTGCTCTCTACGACTGCTACTGCAAATCCCACGGGCCTCCTAATTTACATATATAAGTTCATTATCATCGTCCCGAAATATGCAAGGAATTTCTTGCACCACTACCAACTACGAAACAAAAATGAAAATGAAGTTCGTTCATTCAGTACATCATCCCTTTCAAACATTCTCTTTCGAATTATAACGCATTGCTTTCGGTACGACTACTTGCATTTGGCATTATCAATTCACACTTCTTCTCCAGTAGTCAAACATGAACCTGCCCTTAAGCCAGTGATAAGTAGGATCAAATGAGGTTCAACTTAGTTGAATCTGGCCTTAATTTTGTGTTTATTTTCATTTGGTCAATTACCTTTTAGCTTTTTAGAAAATATACGACATTTTTGAAAAACATGTTTCGACAGTTCCTCTGTCATCTTTAGTTCTGATTTATACAAATGTCAAAGTTGAATTTAAAGTGTATAACAAAATGCTCATTGGAAAAAAACAGACAATAGAAACAGAACAATGTATGCAATTACAAGGAAAGTTTTAAATTATCATGATAAAGTTGATGATTAAGTGAATAGCTTCTTTGATTTTAAGTTGGAGAGTCGTGGAAACGTGATCTAAGATGCTAAAACACTCATCAGAACACACAGTGCGACATTGTTGAGAATTTTGTAAATGCCTGAAAACGTCAGAGTTCCTATCACTGACCAATTGCTCACGCACACGTGATAAATGCCAGGATTACAGCCTGCACATAAAAACTTTTTAACCACACACGTACGGAGCCCACGAGGGATAGAGTATTTCACAACAAACATATTACCTATTTTTAAAGATGAAAAAACCAACTTAATATCTATGTTATTACAATAACGCCTTGCGAAGTCGCGAACCCTTTTTTAACAGTAACAACAGAAAAAGTGCCAATGTAAGGTAATTTGAGGTAAATAAGTAGTGTCTGAAACTGAAACCAGGGGATTGCACTCATTACGGGTCAGCATGCGGTACCGATTGACAACCCTTTCAACCAGGTGGGCTGGAAAAAGATTCTTTTTAAGGATTTCAGAAAGTTTCAAGAAATATCGTGACATATCTGCTGCTATTCAGACCTTTTAGCCCTAACCTTCTAATGATGAGGCAACCTTTGAAGCCTGAGCGAGAGCCATTACCAGGTATAGCTGCCGCGGCTTGTAGAACTGGCGCTGATAAGGATCTGGTCAAGGGGGATATTCCTGTTGGTTCTGGTAAGTAAGATCACAGAAAGTGTTTCAGTACCGGTTCATGATAACGTGTCTTAATTCATAATTGGTGAACCTGTTAGAGACGTTTGTTGATTTAGTTTGTTTCTTTTGAGGGTAACAGAAAATGCCTTAACTATTAATCACATTTTGGTTTGGGTATTGAGAGAAATTTTCGTGAGAAGCTTTCTTGGATCGCAACTGGCACACTTGTATATTTAATTTTAAAGCCATGCTCAGCATATTGCATTGTGGATCTATACCTCGCAAGGTTTTTGTGGTAAATGGAAGCATTTTGGCTCTCCACTGAATGTGTTGGAATCAAAACCAGGAAAATCCCTGCACACGGTTTTTTTAGGTTAACAAAAAAAAGAAATATAGTCATATCGAGTCCTTACAAAACATCTTTTTCCTTTGCCACGTGTATCCAAAGAGTAAATTAACGGCTTCTCAGACTCTTTGTTCGAGTCCAAGCTCACCAAGAAGGTAATCTACCATCTCCTCGTCAATTTCATTCTATTTTTTTCTCAGCGAAGGAATATCTTCTTCTTGCAAGCAACAACTAATCATAATTGTAGGGTGAACTCACTAGGCTGTGCAGGAGTGATCGGCCATTGCCAGTGATCTATAAGAGACCGGATGCATGGCTTACCTCAGATAAGCTATTTCGTCTCTGCAAACTTGGAAAGGGTCTCGAAAAAAATCTTGCATCAGCTATTTAGCAACCAAAGTAATATGAGAAATTTTTGAAATCTTCCAAGATATCATCGCACCACGGGGATTCTGCCAAGGGAATATTTCCCTTTTAGAGTTAGTATGCGCTTTTTTTAAGATCTCTACGATCACCATACCCCATGCGTTGTGGGCTCATCGTTATCTGAGGCGCAATTATGTATGGGCTTAAATTGGTAACACTGTGTGCGACAAACGGATAAGAAAATTTGGGATGAGGATCTTTACCGTTCTCTCGATTTGGAACTTGTCCAGCTGGCGCGGCGCAATTTCTTCTTTCATTTTGAAATAGAAACGGAAAAGGAAAACTTGCCTGAGAAAATAGCCTGATCGAATACAATTTTATCTTGATAATTTTTGTTTCTGGGTCTAATTTTAATATATACCGTCTATTTATAGAATCCGAGGACGAACATGAAGGTATCGACGACTCAAGTGATTCAGCTCAACATCAAAGTAAGTGGAAGAGAGCATTAAGGAAGACGAATCCAATATAGTTACATGTAATTGTGTAGTTTAATCATCCAGGTGAGAGTAATCCTGAAAAGGACTGTTGTCAGTGGTGGTGACTGACGTTTCGAAAATCTGAGCGGAAGTCATCATTTGAATTAAATAATAATTGTTGTAAGTCGAATGTGTATAAACTGATTGGTCAGTTTTGCCGTGATATTATTGGCTGTAAGAATCAACTGGCGTTGGTCGGTCGTGATTGGTCGGTCTTGATCCGTCGGTAAAGTTAGGTTGTTCTGTTGGGTTCTTTTGTAACGTTAATGTCGTGAATGAATCGCTTGCATGATGCCGGTAGTGTTTGACACCTGTTGGGAGGGTCTGTTTTTAGTTGTTAGACCAGCTTTTCAGAGTCAGTCGTTGAAAGTAGTTTGTGCAGTCGGTTACGCATTGCGTAGAATCCCAGTCAATAGTGTGGTTCCTAAGTCGATGATGTTCAGCAATATGATTGGTGATATCACCTTTCCTCTTCGCTCGCTTGTATTCAGTCAGTCTTGTTGTGAAATTTCTGCCAGTCTCTTCGATGTAAGAGGCGTGGCAATTGATCTCATAAACTGCTCCCTGTCTATTCCTTGGTTCATCTTTGTCTTTAACTTTGTCAGTAACTGACGTAGTGTAGAGATGGGTCTGTGAGCTACGCGGATATCGAAGGGTTGTAGGATGCGCGAGATGTTCTCAGATATGCCTAAGTCGCTTTAGTCATAGGGGTTACGGTGTCCTTAGCTTCGGTAGTTGTAATAGGTCGATGAATGTTTCGTCGGATGAAGTCTTCGATATAGTTGTTCTTTCAAAAAACACGGTCAAGGTACTTGTTTTCGTCGGATAAGCTGTCTGTCGTGTTGCATACTAGTTGCGCTCATCGCGTTAGAATCCTGATAGTTGTGGCTTTTTGTGATGTCGGGTTTTAAGATGACTCGTCCAGTAACTTGTCGATATGTGTCGGTTTCCTGTAAACTGTCGTTCGTAATGAAATATCATCATAGTTCCGGCCAGGATTAAACTTAAGTCACCGTTGAACACACAGGAGGCCGTCCAGATCGTCAGAGCCACCTGAAGACGATTGCTCAAAGCGCGGATAAATGATTGCCACAGAAGACTCAAGCGCTACGAAAACAAACACAACTACACGACGAATTGAAACATCTGATACCTATTGACTTACTTGACACTGTTACGACTATTGCCGACAAACGAGCCAACAAGACGACTGAATGTTCCCATACTGGACATCAACAGGCGACTTTGTCTCGGCAACGGGAGCTATCTGAACCGACTAAGGATAACATCAGAAGTAGAATTGCTTCCACCGTACAATCAGCGTCACTACATGACAGCAACTTGACTAAAGACCAACGAGATGCACTGAAACGACTAAAAAACAATGATAAATGGAATTTAAACTGTGGTTGGTTTTGAACTGAAGATGTTCATACTTGTGAATCATTCTTACTTAAGTATGACTGTTTTACAGAAACTGAAGAGGAACTCGATGATGCTCTGCGTAAAGGAGATTTCGACGATATTAACCAGAAAGTGACTCCAGAAACCCTATCACGCTGTAAAAGTAATACCTTACTCAAAGCTTTTCAGGTTGGTATTATAGCTTGATCTTAACATATTTTACCGACACATGTTGGTAATTATCTAAACATATTTTACCGACACACGCGCTCGTCAGACGGAACAAAGTTCCGTCTGACGAGCGCTTAGGCGCGAAACTCAGAGTCACAGAGAATATATATATATATATATATATATATATATATATTCCTAATCATTTGCCGACCTGAATTATCATCTCTTAACAAACGTACTGAATTCGTGTCTTCATGCCGTCACAGAGACAAAGCGTTGCCGCGTAATAGCTGAAAAAAACATCTAAAGTTACCGCCACATTTGTTATGCAAATTTTATCATATAACTACGATGGTTACAATATTGCCATTAAAATCCCCCAAAGAGTGATCTAATCACGAAACAGGCTTGTCAAGAAAAAGCGTACTCTCTTTCTTTTTCCCTAACTTAATTCATATATATACATAGTGGATCCTCACCAGTTTATCTAGTTCGAGTCCTCTGGCATGGCTTGGATGATACCAAAATCGTGGGATCATTCGGGGTAGCTTAGTGCCTACACCTCCTTCCTAGCAAATTAATGTTTGGACGGAAGCTGCGCGGTATATTCCCGGAAGTGAAAAGAAAAACAGATTATCCGGACGACGACAAAATACAGAAGCGTGACAGAGAGTAAAAAGACAATATGAAGACATCCGCTGGCAAAAGAAGACGCACATCGTTGAAAAGAACGAAAAGAACGGCTTAAAGCCTATATATGATCCAGTTCCGATGGTTGTCACTGGGATCAAAGGGGATATGCTCACTGCTAAGAGCAGGAGAAGGATTCGACGAAGAAACTACGCCCAATGGTAACTTCTTAAAAACGGGTGCAGGCAACTCATTGCACGTGGCGAGTCAGATGACGAGGAAGTGTTCGATACGGATGTACCCCCTGGCTAAATGTTTTGGCAGTTTTCCGGCTAACGATTTTAAACCACACTGAGACCCTAATATTGCATGCATGTAGCCGCGTAAACCGTGCGACACAATCAATGACACTAACAAATGAAGCTCAATAAAGTATTGGTTATCGAGACTTTGTTGTAAAAACTCTCTTGTCATTCTCAACAACTTGAGGCTGGGAGGAGTTCAGAAACATTATCAATGATTTTAATAGAGCCGTTTGATTAACGTAATAACTGTAATTTATTTTCTCCCACAGGTCAACAAAGCACTCCGAGATTTAGCACATGATGCAAACTCGGAAAAAGATGATCTAGAGATGCTGGAAAAATCTATAGATGAGTTCACATCAGCCTTGATAGACCCTCTAAAAGCTGACCCCGACACCAGAAAAACATTTCAAAGTTGTTTTGACTATGTGATTGGCAAGGCAATCGACACAGAGCAGAAGAAGGTACAACACAAATAATAAAAAAAAGTTTCTAGTTAATTTATTATACTCTACCCCCATAGAAGATTCTAGCGGGAAAGCTGCTGTATATCTAGGCAACTTGGTGACCAAAGCTCAATATAATACCATTCCAAAAAACAGAACGTCATTTCAACGTCATCCATTGAATTAACAGAGAAGCAGAAGAACTCCAGTGAATACAACATCCCATGAGTTTGAGAGAGATTTGTTGGAAGTTAAATTTTTGAAGAAAATTTGGGGTTTAATCCCTGGGATTTGATGTGAGAGCTCTCGAATCCCAAATATTAGGCGGGAGCCCAAACCACTTAAGGCTCTTGAATAAATTTTGATAAACTAACAATCTGAGAAAGTTAGAAAACAAACAATCTGAGAAATTTTGAAAGAAATCGGTGAGATGGCATTCGTCATGCCTACCCGGTTCTCTCGCAGACAGACTCTTAGCTGTTCTGACCTGCCGCGTTGCTTGACGTTGTAGATGGTTTGATCAATAAATGACGTGGTGCAAAAGTTAAAGATTAAGATTCTCTACAATTCTCACCCTTGCTCGGGTAACTTGATAGTTTTCCTACATGCACATTTCCCGAATAGATGTTACCATGGGTCTGTTCTGTAACAGATCAGAAGTGACGTCAAAAGTGGTAAGGACAAAAAAGTGCGGCACCAGGTGCACCCGAGTGTGTCACCGTTTTTTCGCGACGATATTAAAAAAAAAGATTTAGTGTGACATGAAACTCTCCTGTGATAAATCATATGTAAGAACTAAAGCAAATTTTCAACTTGTTGCGTAAAGTAATATAATGACGATTTTTTTCGCAGTTCCTCTCTCATCCGGTGGTGTATAACTTGCTCATCACTAAATGGTACGGCTCCTTTTTCGAAATGCGAAAAAATTCATGGTGGTCACGTAGACGCTGGGGATACTTTTTTCTCAACCTTTGGACAGTGTTTGACATCGTCTTATTTCCCTTCCTCTTCGCCATTTTCTTCGTTGTGCATTTGATAAAACAGGTCTTGAGGAAAGGAAGAGGTTTGTGATATAGTTTTTTAAATGTCATTTAAGTTGTTGACATTTTACAGTAGATGATAATGCGTTTTTACTTCGCTTAGCAAGCTCTTTGGTAATCAAGGTTTGAGCCTGGAGGAGGGAAGGGTGATAGCATTGACGTATCTTACTCCTGCCTCTTTAAAACTGCGTTACCACGTCAGTTTAGTCCTCCCAACTGACACAACACAGGAGTTCTAGCTGCAGCAATGAAACGTTAAACTCTGTAATTTATGAAACATTATTATTGATCGCTATCAATTCCTCGCCATGATTTGTTGCGAGACCTTTCAAGCATTACTTAAAAAAGTTCACCTTAAGTCATCAATTCGGCTTGAGTTCAAAATTTTTATTTAACATGAGTTTTGGCCAATTATCATTTAAGAGGGCTAGTTATTTGTATTTATTTCCATTGTGAGATAAAGTTAAAATTGGTCAGGGATTATTTGTAGGCCACCTATTTATTCCCATTAGATCATAAAAGTCATAGGAATTGTTGTGACCGTTATGTCGCCACTGGAACCAAGTCTTGAGATTAGATACCATCAGCAACTAGGGAGTTGTTTAGATGCATAGTGTTTGTTGATTTATGTTTTTTTAACTCATTGGTTTGATGGGATAGCATCTTATGCTTTCCTTAACTTGCAGAAACTGAAATGTGTTTTGTTTTGACGCTGGACAAAGATACGCTAAAAGAAGAATTTGATCTGATCAAGAACACGATGAGCTACATCGTTCAGGAATATGGCTGCCAATCAGCCAACTATTGTGTGATTTTACGTAAAAACAACGAATTCATCAACTTTGAAGAGAGGTGCTCCTATAAGGCCACACTGAAAAATAGGATTTCCGAGTTAGAGCAGCCAAGCTCTCCTGCTCTACTCTTTGAAGATCTCGAAACCGCTTGTCGTGCATTCAAAAGCCCAAACGTTCGAAAAGATGCTAAGAAGGTGAGGTATATGCACGCGCGACCGATGTCCGCTGCTCTTTCGAGTTTGGTGATTCAGCAAGGAAGAGTGGGTTTACTTTTTAACCATTAGCTGGTTATTGGGTCTTGGTAAGGTAACACTTGCGATTGTAAGTTCGGTGACAGTTCTATGGAGTAACACTGCAAAGGAAGGAGGATACCTCCAAAAGTGTACTCACTCGGAACGGTTTTTGCACTCTATCATTTTATTCGACCTGTGTTGCTTGTACTACCTGCAGCCATATGAAAATTCATATTCAACTGTGATTGATTTCGATTATCGCAAGCAGCATTGATATATGTTTCAGACGGAAACAATTATATTTGGTCTCATTTTCTTCCTGAAACATCTCCAGCTATCAGTTGCGTAGAAATATTAATTTAATGGCGAGCCAGACAGAGAGATTAATAATTTAGAAAATACATACAGGATTCAAGACGTTCAAGAAAATCTGCAATATATAGAAGAATCAGGTAATGTTACAAGCAATTGGATTTTTTACGTCGAAATTTTCTGGCAGTTCTTTTCTAAAAAAAAGAAAAACTGACGTAGTTTTCAAGATTGGTGAGTTTCACGGTTCATAATTGACCAACATCGTGAGTTTGGTGTTGAGAATTACACTAAATATCACTTTTAATCTTAGTTTGATTTTTCATCAGGTGGTCGTATTTTTTCTGAATTACACATTGAATATGTCAATGGAAAAAACTGAGAAGTTACAGCGCTTGGAAAAGGATATAAAGGATATGCAAGTTAACATCGTTCCCGTCGGTATTGGGGAGAACGCCAAATTATCAGAATTAAAAAAGATGGTAACTAAAGATGGCACAGCACTTCACTTTGGAGAATACGAGTCACACGAGACGTTAGGGAGAGCTGTCATACAAGGTAACTTGGAGAGGTTTAACATTTCCACATCTCTCAGAAGAATTAATTTCCTATTTTGTGTTGGAAAGAAAAAGAAAGTATTAAATCCCGTTGTTACAGCTCGAATTAAAAAAGAGTTTTTTATACGGTGATGTAATTTAAAGACTCTTACATCTCCCTCCACTGCGCGGAAGTGTGCTTGGCTTTATCATTTCCATATTTCACTTTTCTTACAGGCATCGAGGGAAAGGACATTTATGGTGAGGACGAGCCTATTTGGCGTGTTTGGTAGCTATATATCCATAGACCGTTAAAGACTTTTTTCCAATAATTTTTGAAGATTGTCAGCGCTCTTCGAGTACCATTCTAAGCTAGCGTCTCACTCCTTGTCTTTCAGAGAAATACAAGGATTACTTTACGACTCCTTATTTCGTCTTTTTTCGCGACACGCTGAGCTATATCACCCTCCTCATTCTTCACTTCGCTCTTTGCCTTTCTCCTTCAACTGTTTCCTTCAGTCGACTAGAATTGGTTTTATCAGTTTTCTTCGTGGGACGCATTTTTATGGAGATTATGCAGTTTATCAGTGCTAAAAAGAACGGAGTGAAATCACACACAGAGAGGCGAAATAGTGACGGATACACCTACCGATTATGTTCACCTGAGGATCCACAAGTAAACGAAACAGGAAATGACAGCATTTTACGAAAGACTTTCATTCGTTACTTCAGGTATTTCATTTTCTGATCGATTTATTTTACTTTTGGAGAATATTAGATTCACAAACATGTAGAGGGTAAACTTAGACGCGACCAGTGACCAAATGAATTTAACTAACGGAAAAAAAGTTAACCATCTTGATTAAGGTAACAAATTGAGCACTATTGACTACTTGGGTGTTGCAGCTCACTGTTCATTGCTTAGAGCTGCATCAGTCATGATAAAGAGCACCATTTTCAATGCTTGGGTGCATCAATAGGGGCCAGTATCAAATATTTTGGTACGCCAATACGAGCCCACGCTCACTTTTTTGCCACAGCGATTGGGATTACTGCATATTAGTTGGGTAGACCAGTATGTGAACCAGGAGTCGCTCCACTTTTACTTATTTGGGCACACCGGTATGAACATGTTTTGATTCTTGGTTACACCATTATAGGCCATTGTTATTTGTAAGGCACACCAATATGGGTCGATACTCCTCTTTTTTAGGTACTCTCAGGTCATAAATTGGCTTTTACCCATGACGAGATCCTAGACATTAAAAACGACCGTATTGCCGATGGTTCGCATTGACAATCTACATACTAAATTTAAAGTTTTAAGCTACACGATAAATAAGCAAATTGGTAAACCAACAGTTGAAATATTCTATTTTCATGGCAATAACTTATTTTTTTAAACATTTTTCTCTGTGAAAAATGTAACAACACATAGTGTGCATGCGTAAACTGATTCTCTTGCGTGTGAATGACGTACGATCTGTACATTATGCTCTTCTAACGCAGTTAATATCTATTATATTCATAGCGACCGCTGGAATGTGCTGGACTTCATCATTCTTGTTTTGTACCTAATTACCTTCATATTACGCATGATTACATTAGGAATCTCCACCGACGTATCAGAAAACAGACTCTTGGTTGTGTCGGAGTATTTCTATGGTTTTATTGCCATGTTTCTCACAATAAGAGCCTTTGGTCAAGTCATAGAGCGCTTGCGGAAAATGGGTGCCATACAAATCGCCTTATTTTTCATCATCTCTGATGTCTTGACGATATTTTGGCAGTTTTTGGCCATGATTCTGGCCTTTGCGCTGCCCATGACAAAGATTTATATTGCTGAGAAAGCTTATACCTCAGGAAAAGCTTCCGCGGATGATTTGTGAGTACAAATTGTGATCTTGCTAATAAATCTTCGAACCCATAAATAACATATTCTAACTTGCTGTCCTTATTCATTTCTTACTCTTTTTTCCGGAGCATGAATGTTTTTTTTTTAAGTTGGGAAGGGAACCTCATGTGTGTCTAGGCGCTCAAAGAAAGTGACATTTGGCTAAGAGCTAATCAAGTGAGATTTAATTTTTGTATGGAAGTGTAAAAGGACTTTAAAACGACTTACACCAAAGTGCCAGACTTTCTATGAAAAGCGTTTTTTTTTTTACTATCTTTGTGACACTTTGTAAATTTTAACCATTCCTTTTCTCCTATTATTTCAAGGGTATGCAGTGAACCAGGGATAATTTGGTAAGAGTAAGGCTGTTGTTGTTGTTTTTATTCTAATTTTTAACATTATGTACTGATCGTAAATACACAGAATTACGCGATATCTTCGCAAAACTTGAATTCTGTGTTTAAAATTCTTCGCAGTCACTTAAAACTTATGGTTGCGACCTGAATTTGTGAGGCAAATGGGCAGCGACCCATTACATCAGCTAAGTTTCACTTGCATGTTTTAATATAATGAATGGCTGGCTAACCTGTCGTTTCCCTGAGGAAAGGCAAATTGAGGTCTCGTGAGGGGGTAGGGGAAAAGTGAAATTGTGAATTCTGAAAGTGAATTACGCGTTTTGAATGCTTTGCAAATAATTATAACTCATGGTTGCGAGCTGAAATAAATTGTGTGGCAATGGAGGCGGCGACCCAGTACGCCCAGTGCGTCAGCTTAGTTTCATTTATGTTAATATATAAACGGCTGGCTATGTGTTGTTTCCCTTAGGAAAGACATAATGCTCTCAGTTGAAAAACTGAATGAATGATTATTTTATCTAACTCGTTGCTTTTGAAACTGCTCTCCAGTTGGTGGAACATGGTAAAGCACCTAATCTGGTCGTTGCTGGGTTTAGCTGACCTGGATAGGTTGAACTCCGTCGACAATCTTTCCGTTTTCCTTGTTCAAGTGCTGTACGGCTTGTTCTTAGTCATGGCAGTTGTTCTTCTCGTGAACATGATGATTGCTTTGCTCTCCAATACGTATCAGCAGGTTCAGGTACTTAACAGATCCCTTTTTTTTTTTTTTTTTGTATTTTATTAATTTTTATTAATTCAAAGTTACATACATTTTTCATAAACAAACATAATTCACATAAACAGACAGACACGGTACATCATATATCTACATACACAACCCGCAGTTCCTCTTAGCTCTCCTCGGCTTCTAAATATAATACTAGTACAGCGCAGCAACAAACATGAGATTCTATATCATCTAATAATTTTTTTTTTGTACTTGTCCCATTTCATATTATGAGCTTTTAGCTTATTATTTGATTTTGCGATCATAGTCTCGAGTTGGTGGATCGTTTTAATTTTGAGGTTTAATACTTTAATTGAAGGAAGAGATTTGTTCTGTCGGCAAGAATATAAATACTGTTTGGCAATTATTAAAATATGATTGATTAATAATTCGTCTTCGCACCTTAAAATACCAAACATTATATCTTTTTCAGAGAGGTGTTTTATCTTTACGCCTTGATTATCGAACCACTTTATTACCTCAGCCCAGAAATCCTTTGTATAACGACAAGAAATAAAAAAATGCTTCAAGGATTCGTTCATTTCGCCACAGAAGGAACACGCCGGGGATGGAATAATACCAATTTTGTTTAAAAAAGAATTTGTGATAAGACACTTGTTGAGTAGTTTATACTGGAATTCACGCGATTTTGTGTCCAAGGAAGTACGAAATGGCAAGCTGTAAATCTCTTTCCATTCTAAAACATCATTAACAAAATGAGTCTTAAAATTCAGTTGGGCAGTCGGTGGAGTGATGATTCTATTTCGAAGTTCTTTATATATAGTCTTTGAAATGACTGTTTCAATTAAAACGTTTTTGTCATTAAAACTTAATTTAATTTCGTTATACAAATTGAAAGGCTCGTCAGCTGTAGAAGCAAGCGTGTTTAATGATTCACGCCATTCAACTGGTAAGGCGTCTATTACAGAAATAAGTCTAAATATATCTAACGGCGAGGTGTTTAATTCTCTCAACTTGTAATTACTTTTAACAATAAATTCGTTATTGTCCGAGATTAGATCCCCTATTCGAAGAAATCCTTTTTCTGCGAGATTTTTAAAATACACAGATTTGCCACCGATACAAATAAATTTATTATTCCACACAATAGCTTTTGAAAGATCTTGTCTATTTTGATCCTGTATACTTGTGTGAGTTGCTGCGGAACATTTTGCGAAACTTTTAAAGCATTCTTCATAAAATGCTGGAAGCTTTATGGGCAATTTCTTCAAATCAAAATCGCAACATAAAATAAGTTTACCCCCCACAGGTTCAAGGTAATGCAGTACAATTTTTTTCCAATTGCTCGGTTGATCGCTTGCCAACTTTTTGCAACAGAGGATTCTCTGAGTCTCTATTATAGAATCTAAATCAACAGATCCCTGCCATCACGGAATTAATTTATTCTTCTCATAATCCAGAATAAAGAAAATATGGGCTTTTTTTCGTAAAAGATACCAGATATTTTTCGTAAAGTTGATAAGCTACTATGATCAAATATAGATCTATTTTGGCCAACAATATTACAACCTAACTGGTTAAAAAGGTTCCACATCAAACCCGTGTTGTTTCCCTGCCTGAATGATGATCAACCCGAGAGGAGCAGCTCAAGGCTTCCGTTAATGATATTGGGGACCTTAAGCAGTCAGGACGGCAACGCTGAGGAAGAAGTCGATCGATAAAATAGAGCTATATTTTTATTTAGAATTTCGCAAATGGCTGGATGTGTTTATTGTCTCTTACGGCGCCACACCTCAACTTCAGCTTAACGCATGTAAGCAGCCTTTAGTTAAAAAGAGAAACTTGCCGGGAAAATTTGCCGTCGAGGTTCCACTCTTAGACCACGCAAATTTTGGTGATTTCACGTCGTTGGCTAAGAAATGTAGACAGTTTTAAAACGCATGTGCTGAGCTATTGTTTACTAGATCTTTCGTTGACCCATACGTTGCCGTTGGCATTGTGGCTTGCTTAAGTTCCCTATTCCTTTTGTGAGACGCGTCCGCAATTGGATTCATAGTTTTTTAATTCAAATTTCGAGGAGTTTTTTTGTAAACAAAAATGATATAGAATTTTGTTTCTTGTGTACGATATGACATAGTTTTTCTCCTGCTGAGGAAGTGACGCCTGTTATTCCTATTTGCTGGTACCTCCTTAAAGGCTGTTAAGTCCCTCTTTGTGTCTCTAGGATAATTCACTGCAGGAGTGGTCTTTCAAGAGAGCCATTACTGTCAGGACTTACAGCACCAATCATCCAATACCAGTGCCTTTCAACATTTTGTCTCTCTCACTGATGTTACTCCGGTACATCCTTTTGAGGAGTCCATGCTGCAGATCGTCTTATACTCCTGCTTTGGATGAGGCAGGACGGGTAAGCTGGTAACGCTGTGCTAATTAACTTTGTGAGTTTTTAAAAGAGCCACTGTTGTTGAGAGTTATCGTTTATGTCCACTCAGTTATTTTTCTTTGCTTTTGATTTGAAATTTCTTTGATTCGATAGAGTAGAACCCTGGATACACTGGTGAAGAACCTAGAAAAAAGATACTTTGAGAAGTACGGTTATGAATTTCCCCTCACAGGTAGGGTGATATGCTAGATTTGTTAATAGCCTCACATTTATGATTCGGTCATAAAACAAACTAAAGAAGGTGCGAAAGAGCTGTTGTCCTACCAAAACCAGCAAGGGTATTATTGAACGAATATTTCTGGAGAATTTCAAACTATTTAGGATAAGAATAAAAAAGACGCGTATCGTGATTGTTTCAGGCCTTAGTTTCACGACTGCTCAGGTAGTGTTCATTACTGGGATGATCACTTTCATATTCATTTCTTGATCCGCGTATCTCATATATAACTTTCATATATTCAGTCATTTGCAATGATTTTGTTAACACCATTCAAAACAGGCCAAGTTAATAGGGTAGTTTCCTATATTTGTTTAGAGGAGAAAAAGGTGGATCACTTGGTAAAGCAAAATGAAGGAGGTAGGAAAATGACTAATCAGATTGTACGGGAAATATTCCGACCGCGTGGAAACAAGGAGGAGAAACTTGCGTTTGGACAAGGAGTAAGTGTTTTTCAGGCCTAAATTCACTTCTTAAGGAACAGTTTCCCCACCACACTCTGTAGATCTTGCTACACCAGGAAATACCTTTGTTACATTTTTATTTTACACAAAAATTCTTCCTTCATGCAAATTTAAATGTGAACGGAGAAAATTACTGAATACACTTTGTAACATATTTTCTCTCTCCCCTTGAGGCTTTATAAGTAGATTTGGGATGTGTGTGGTTGTGAGTACTTACAATGATGTTCAACTTAAATTAATTATTTTGATTATGACATAAAAATCTTGTAAAAGATATGTGAGCATATAGTTATACACAACTACTTTTGCAGAGTTGTGAAATTATTTCTGTGTGTCAATCTCTTTGTCTCGCTTTTGTAAAGATATCTCATGTAACTGAAGTTTCGTTCGATCATACCGCTGGGGAAAAATGTCATCGCCGACAATTTGCCGAATGAATCCGAATCAAGCCGAGTAAAAGCTCGTGATACTAAATAGAAAAGTCCCCAAGGATGGATAACAAAAGGCCCATTGTATTAAAAAATCCCAACCATAACAATAGGCAAAGTTTGATATGTTGTTTTAAGGCGTGGTATGATTCGCCGGGAATCGCTGTGGATGGCTGTCTCCTAACTTACATGGGACCTGATTTCTGCAAAAAATGCAAAGATGGAAATCTTAACGACACTCACAGTGCCATATTCAAGTCTCCCTTTACACCAGAGACACCACGATTTGAGGTGAGGTTTTGTTTTACACATACATACATACCATACACCCACGCATACACACATGCAGACAGAGAGAAAGACAGAAAGACAAACAGACGGACAGACCGATAGACAGATAGACAGATAAATAGACAGACAGACAGAAAGATAGACAGATAGACAGACAGACAGGCAGGTAGCTAGATAGACAGATAGACAGATAGACCGATAGATAGAGAGATAGACAGATAGATAGACAGACATACATACATCCATAGTTTATTGTATAGACCCCCCCCCCTCCTTCATAATTTCTGCTACACGGTAAAATCTCTGGAAAAGCAACATAAGTACACCTCTTTTTGAAAGCCCAGGCGCTAGTTACCTTTCTTTTGTAAGCGCTCTTCCTCGTTTCTATTTTGGTGAACTACTATACTTACTTTTAAAGAGTGAACTGTGAGCTTCGCGAGGTCTCCATAATAGAAAGACTAGACCGTCATCGTTTTGCAGGTACTCATTCAGAGAACTGGAGAGAGGCGTTTCATTGCACTAGGTGCCGTGGATAAGGATTACGACTGTCACAAAATGCCTGGTTGGTATAATGGAACAGTTGGTTACCACGTAGACGATGGCAAAATATTTGACAGTAAATGCCCTGAAATGGGAAGAGAGATCGAAGGTATGGGTTACTTTGACCGCAGGTCACGTATTTACTAAAATGTTTACGGAGGTTTCGTCCCATTACAATCTTTGTGAGGTCTCCCCTCGTAGCAAGACGAGTTCGCCCTAAATCTTTCAACTCGTTTTCTGATGGAGAAGGCTAGAGTTCAAAAGCACGATAAGTCATTGTGAAATGCTGGGCGCAACGACGCAGGAGTGCGAGTATCAAACTACAACATACGTATGTTGGTTATTGCTTTCGAATGTATGTGGCCTCCTAAAGAAGCCGTTTTAGTCTAGTTTGTTCATAAAAGTATTTCCTGAAATTTGCTATGAACGCTGGCATAAATGGCGTCAACCACGTTAAATAAAGTCCGGAGTAATGCAGCGGCTTTGCATCACTTGTTCGGTAGTCGTGCATCATTTCACACGGCTGATAATTTGTATGTTGGTCGAACTTTGTTATGGTTTTGCTGTGAAATCAGTTCATGTTGATTGATGTAAATTAAGATTTCAAAAAAATATGTTCTACCGTAAGGAGACATGTTGAAAGATTTTAGGGATGAACTGGTAAAAGTGGGAGCGTGCACGTCTTACGGCAGGGGGCAAACTCATGCAAAGACGTTTTAGGGGCGAATTTGCAATGAGGTAAAATTACCAGTTACCGATTAACAAGGTTCTGAAGGCACTTGAAAACGCCTTCAAGGCTTTACTGTCCTCCTTAATCCCACCTTGGAACAATAAACATCTGATTTCACAGAAGAAAAAGATTCAGAAATGTTAGATTGTAAACGTTAGGGGGTTCAGTTTGAATTTCACTCAATGTTGTTACACCTTTGGTTAACTTTGTTTAATTTGTCCTCTTTTTGCTATGTTCTAAATACCTTATGTTGATGACTTAGGAGCCATGGCTTATCGCGGCGATCTCATCGCCTGTGAAGTTGATTTTAAAGGAGTCCGTAAGGATAGAGTCCCTGTGTTGTTCTCCTTGAACGGTAAAGAAGTAGGGCGTTCTTCAGTAAAGTACACCTCAGGACAACTACTATATCCCTTGGTATCATTGGGATTTCCGGGCATTAAAGTGCTGGCCAAGGTATGTCCGAAAGAGGGGGGGGGGAGGGTGGGGGAGGGGGAGGGTGATGGGCTAGAAATCAAAGCTGTATATGGTTTGGCTTCATTAGTGATATGCTAACATAGGGCATAGACACACATAACTTAAACACTTTTTGTTAATTATAAACAGGGCGAATAATTAATTCCAAAGTCTGAGAGCTGCTACATAAAGAGCTCCCTTGCCACATATTTCTAATTGGCAGCGGGAAAAATCCCTTGAGGCCAGAGGAGCGTGCTGAGGTATGATGATTGACCAGGCAAAGGAGGCATAAATCTCACTTCATATTACTTACGTTATGCACACATATCCATGTTCCATAGTTGTTGACATAATAGTTCATACTTCACAAATATGTCCATCGCCATCTTATTTTCTTCGTCAAATTTTAGCGATTTCTTTTTTTTATTTTGAGACGTACAATTTCCTCACGTTTCAGATGTGCTATCGTGATAGAGACCGTTTCGGTAGAGTAACAAATGAAGACCTTCAGGATCAACTTGCCGACCTTAGGAGGATGTTGGTGGATCTGAGAGAAGGAAGTAAGGGAGAAAGAAGAGCCAGGAAAAGTTTTTAAGAAACAATTCTATATTAGGTGACGATGTAAAATCGTGCACTTTGATGGATCAGGGAGTTAACCAGCTATAATCCTGCAGCTTTATTTTCGATATTTTTCTCTCTTCATTACTGATTTTTTTCAATGGAAGGAGGAAAATAAAGAAGAATGTAATCATCTTGGAAAACGTTTTGGTTTTTTTTTCAGCTTAGTATCAATGGATATTTGTGTGTAACCATCATTTTGAATAAATGAAAGGATGCATTTTAATGCAAACTATATGTAATATTTCTTATAAAACTACAATAAACTTTACTTACTTACAAAGAATAAAGAAGGTAAAAATCCATGCACGTATTCTCATTTATAAGTTACCTTTGCTTTATATAATTCTTTGAGTTCAAAGATCTGGTCAAAAACTCTCCCCTTCATCTGCTATACATGTTGCAAATTTGGGAAAATGTAAGGTTAAATAAAGGTATCACTTTACTTATGAGTTAATCTATTCTGTTTGCTGGATCGTGGAGATATTTCATAGTAAAGTTCTCTATCAGGGTATAGAACATAGAAAAAGAGGGCTAAAGCTGTCATGTCATCTGCCAAATTGTACTATGTCTTACCTTTTCCCGGACTTCTCTCTAGCTTTTTTTCGTGAAATTTCGGAACAAACGAGTCGGCAATTAGCAACAAAAGAACAAAGAAAGTTTTGTAAACATGCCAAGCGCCGTAACTGACGTTATTATAACGTGAGCAAAGACGAAAATCCTCAAAGAGAAAACGAAATGAACACTCCGACTTCTGAAGGTTTCACGCTTAGTCAGATTGCAAGCTTACGTACGGAAATAAAAAAAAAAATACAGCTAACACCCGTGTTATAGTTTCGTGTTCAAAAACAAAGCAGAAAAATACAGGAATGATGAAAAGTATAGCTAGACTGGCATAACTGGTAAATTCATACCAATCATGACGGTGTCAGAGCGACTGAGATCATGCTGAGGTCCATCGCGGCTAGCTCATCATGGCGATCTCCGGTCATCGCAGTATAAAGCAAGCCTCAGAAATTACTCGACTACGTCTCATGTTTCTCACTACACTTCTTTCGTGCTTTCGCCGCTTCCTGCCTGCTTTACAACAGAATAGAGCACAGTCAAGGCTTCTCTATTTGTTAAATAGAAAGAAAAGTATTAATTATAATCTAGTTACATTGAATTTTTTTTTTTGTCGTTGGAGTGTCAATGTGTTCAGATGAAACAGATCGCATTAAGATCAGTTTTCGTGAATTACAAATACTCTACCCACCAACCATTCATTCTGAAGTTTATTTCAGAATTTATACTGCTTTCTCAGTTAATTTATGTAATCGTTCAAACAATGCGTGCAGTGTTAAGTCAATGCTGTTGATAAGCAATAGTTTACAGCTGGTTTTATGAACAATTATTGGATGAGGTTTTTGCGATATCCACAATAATCAAGGTCTAGGTAGGAGTTATCAGCCAAAGCCTATCCCTCTTTTTTTTTTCTTTTCGTTAGTTAGGGCCTCTGAGTGACAGCTGCAATCTTCTATTGGCTGTTATTTGGTGAATTATGAACGCATTTTGACTGGTTCTTGCTTATTGTCTGTCTATTGGAGGACGTACGCATAGATGACGTCACCATCAATAGCGCGCACCATGTGCCACTTTTTTTTGTGTACCACATTTTAACGTCATCTGTGACGATTCATCACTGAACAGACACATGGCAACATAGATTCTATTTGGTCAAATAGTGAAATTTAATTCCGCACTTTATTGATAAAACATGGTGATTTCTGACCAGACTTCACAAAGCTAATTTTCGCTCTTAACTTTTACCACCTGACATTAAGTATGCTTATTCTATTGTGTTTTCTATACATTTTCCCTTGTACTGACAGAAGAATATGCTCAAAAATCAGCATCCTCTTAACTTGGTGATAATTTCCGTCTTTCTCATGACTTTATTGTTTGATTCAGGGATACAGTAAGAGGAAATCAGTGCGATTGTTAGCTGATCCAATCCCAAATTCTAAATACTAACAACATGCATGAGAACTGTATTGCAGACAGTGAGGAGAATTGCTAAGGAGATCTTGGTAGTAAAAAGGTTAATATGTGTTCATGTGTTTATATGCTATCGCACAGTAGGTAGATAGATGACTAGTTTAGGAATCAATTTCTCTCTGGACGCAACATTTTTACTCCCGAAAAGGTACTTATATGGCGTCCCAATATCGACCGTGCTCTCAAAATTTTTGTTGGACAATTTCGTTACTAGAATTTTTCTTAAATAAAAATCAGTCTCCCATTGTCCGGACCTCTAGATCACATGGACTGATCTTGCTGGGGCCCTTAAATCTTTTACTTTTTCTTTTGTTTGAGATCATTGACAATGACAGAAGAAAATAACCTGAAGTAATAACTTAGGCGAACAAGAACTTGAATGACATATGAATCTAATAGTAATGCAATAATCTTCGGAGATTTGTCTTTTTTTTTATTAACATTCAAGCTGGATATACTTCACCTGTTACGTTGTTCCGTTTCTCATAGTCAATTTGATCAGGCTGCATTCATTCAAGTTCTTCACACAGTAAAACTCAATATTTGAAACAGAAATGTAAACGGTTGGCCTCGTGCCGAAGGTTAGCTTTCTAAGGAAACAGAAAGGCTCCTGACAACGAGGTTGTCTGGTTCCTCAAGGGATCGGAGAAGAGACTGGGATCAAACTACTATGAACATGGAGAGCATGGTTGGGATCAAACAACAATATTCTTCAGTGTGATTTTCATTTACAATGAAACTCTGACAGAAAACGGCCCTTCGGCATGAGTTGCAATTGGCTTTAAAATCACACATACTTTTATATGGGTCTTTCCTTTGAATATAATGAGAATGATTACAGAGGCTGCGAAATACAAAAATTGCGAATGTTTGATGTCAACACACACTCCACTGTAAACAGAAATATCTGAGAGGCAAGGACAAAGGCGTGCAGGCATAAGGTATTTCCTAAGGCTGTTTTGCTTTGCACAATTTTCTTACTTTTTGATTATAATTTAGTTGGCATTCTTCCAGTTCATTTTATTCTTGTGCATGGTAAGGAACTGTTTAATTCGTTTTAACTCTGAACGCGGGAAATTTAAATATTTTCCTGAGAACTCTGCACTTAGATGGCTCAATATCTACTTCAGAATTGGAGATAGCTATATCTTCAGTATACAATACACTGTAGAAAGCATCCAAAACAGTTGAATCGGGCATAAACAGTGTTGATGGTTGTATCATCTGTAGATGACAGAGTAGGTAGCTGTAGGTTGTTAGTGTTACTAGACACTGCAGATAAATGCCTGTATCTTAGATAGACAAAAGATAGCTGTATACAATGTATACAGGGTCGATATCTGCATCTGTATAGACAGTTTTGATAGCTATCAAATATTTACAATGAAGTTAGATATATTTATCTGAGGTAGAGTGGATGGCTGTTTCTTCTGAAGTTACCTGGGGGGTTGCCCGGGAGCTGGGGAGGGGGAATGTTGAAACTCTGAATTGATCAATGCATAAGCACTTCATGATTTGTTTGTTTTGTAATTCCCAAACTTACATAGTTAATTTGATTTGATTCCTGTTATATTTGTTCTCTTATTTTCAGATATAAAGTAATATTTTGGTTTGCTTGTTATTTAGCTTATGTGATACAATTGTAAAGATTAGTTAATTTTTCCCCTTAATGTTGGTGAAAATAACATTATGTAATGTAAGATAAATTTTTTGTTACAACATCTGACGAATATACAGAGAGTGCCAACCCTTGTCAACTTAAGGTCTAAAATTCTTGCATTTATGGCATAACAACCTACTCTTCCGAAAGTCTTTGATAGCATGTTCTAATATGCCTGTAACATATGTGGCTCCGACACATCACAAGATATGGAGCTAAACGGAATCTCTAATCTATGTCTAAAGTGTGAACTAAAGTGGGTAAACAATTTCTTTCATGGTGATTTATATTTGGAATGACCTTTCACCCTCTTTCAATAATGTTAAATTTAATTGCATTTCTGAAGCAGGTCAAACATTATTGAAGAAATTTCAATCGGTAATTTTACCTTATAATGTACCATTAGTAATGTTTAACTAACTTTTCCCTCATTGTTTATATATTTGTTTTCATTACCTCCCTGCTGTCACCTGGTATTTAAAATGTATTGGGGCTAACAAGAAAACCTTTGGTTAACTTAGCTTCCTAGGCTTTCACAATTTGACATTAAAATTTGACATTAAAATTTTATTACTAGTAAATAGTATTAATCAATCTACAGTATTGTAAAATCATAAAATTATTATAATTGAACTCATATTTATTTTGAGTGAGTAAAATTTTTTTTTACCAAAGCTGAAAAAAAAAGGGATGCATATTTACCATATCCCACTAATAACAGCTCAGTAAATATCCCCTACTATTTACCTCCACTTATAAATGAATAAACAATTTTTTGTTATTTTATGAAAGTGCAGGGAAAAGGTTCAAAGAGTTGGAACACATGTAATTTATATATTATCAACTGATGATAAAAGCTGTCATGTATGTTTTGACAGAGATGGCATGTAGAGAGGAATCTCAAGTAGATTCAAGTTGCCAGTGCCAGCATCTGAAGCCATCTTTCAGGTATGGCAATAAAGTAATAATGAGCAGTGCTGTAATCAATCAATTTCATGTATATCCAATGAATTGTTAATTCTTTAACTCCCATGAGTGACCAAGACAGAATTTCTCCTTACATTATCAATACAACATTAACCAGATACGTGATGAGAATAAAGAAAAATATCAATTTGGGGATAATGTGTTTATCCAATACTTAATTCTCTGAACTAACATTATAAGAATTGTATGGTTGACAGTAAGGAGAGTTACAAATTTGATCTGGGAGTTGAAGGGTTAGAAGGAATTTCAGTTATTTCTTAATTTTGATGTTACTTTTGATGCATATGTAGTTATCAATAATTCTGACATAATTTTAAGACTTTTGGACAAAACTGTTTTATTCAAGTTTATTTTCCTAGCTTGCTTTATATGCAAGGTAAATACCTTAACCCTTTAACTCCCATGAGTGACCAAGAGAGAATTTCTCCTTACATTGATCAATATAAAATCAAGAAGACAAGTGATGAGAACCAAGAAAAGTATCAATTAGGGGATCATTAGTTGAACCAATATCAAATTCTCAGAAGCAACATCAGAAGAATTGTATTGCAGACAGTTAGGAGAATTACTAATGAGATCTTAGGAGTTATTTGGGTTAAGGTATTGTCACTTTTAGCACTGTCTTGTCCACTTAAAATCCCAAATGATTCAAGGATGGAATTTTGTTGGGAAAGCCTTGGAGTTTATCCCTGATTGGCTCACTGATTGTTAGACTTGTCAACAGATTGATTGATTGGCATACTGATAACTGATCAGCTTATCAACTGATAATCAAAGTGAAAGACTGTCTACTGAATAAAAGACTAACAAGGTGGTTGACTCGCTAATCATTGAGGAACAAAGAACCAAATTAGTGACTGACTGACAGACTGACAGACTGACTGACTAATTGACTGATTGATTGATTGCATCGCATTACATTGTCTCACTGTACATGTATTAAAAACTGTTGTTTTCTTGTAAATAAGATGTCATCAGCATGATAAAAGCACTGGACCAAAATTTAAATGGTTATCTTCAGGATTAATGCTTGTTTAACTTTACAATCCATTATGGTTGGATGAACTAGGTCAACAAAAGTGATGTAATCCAAATTCTAGTTTCCTCAACTATTTTCAGATTTGTAGTTTGTCTTGCAATAGTTTCTTTCCTCTTTGAATAAGAAGTATATATAGCTCTCAGGTAATCAATCATCTCATGATGCCTTCCCCTCAAACCTTGTAGTGTTATTTACTTTAAAACATGTCAAAATGAATGGCAATCTTGCTGCACACTACATAGAGATTATACCGCCAGCTGACTGCCTGGAACATCTCAACAATTTGACATCTTCATTGCTTGCTTACAATAAATACGGGCTACATGGTTTTGGAGCTTCTGTAAAATAAACTTTAAGATAAGTGCACAGTCATACCAATTGACTGATTATGACTGAAATGCCAGAGCTGTTCATGTGAGATTGCATGACTGGTTGACTTGCTGGCAAACTGATGATAAACTGATTGTCAAACTAACCAGATGCCAACCATTGAAAATCTGAATTCTGCAGTTGTTTGAATTTTAACTTTTCTAACTGGCTGATTGTTTGACTTACTGACTGACTGACAGACTGACAGATTGATTGACTGATTGACTCAGACTGACTGGACTTATGGACTGACTCAGACTGACTGGCTGACTGACTTGCTGTCATATGGACTGACTGACATGCATCATTGACTGAAGACTGTTGATTGATTGCTTGATACAGAAGCTGTTAACTTTGTTTAGGAACTGTTCTCCACGAGATAAAAATTAGTACTTGGGTAGAATTTCTAAATAGTTGTCAAAATTGTTTGCATAAACTGTTGTGTGCTGTGTTCTCCTTTCTTTTGCGAAGTGTTATAAAGTAAAATCTGGATCACATTTGTGGAGAATTACAGCTTTTTTCAACAGACAAATTGACAGACTGGCTGATAATCTTCCTGACTTATGACTGATGGATGTATTTAAAGTTGTGTTACTAAATGATAAGTTTTTTTAGCTATCTTTTTACACACAAATTTTCCCATCATATATCCAAACACAAGGAAGGCATTGAGGAAAATGTTAATTGATCAATTTTCTTTTTTCAGGATTTATGCCAACTGTGGACCATGGGTTGACATTTTATTCTTATTGATGATTGCTGTACTGGAAATCCAGTTGTTTGCTTAAGTACACAAACAAAATTCTGGTATGAGGTATGCTCTGTTTGAAGTTCACCTCAGATGTATATTGTACAATGCAACTTGCTTTGTTCAATCAGCAAGCAGAGCACCCCCACTGGTATTCAAAATGGTGTCAGAAATTCCTTAATTGGTTGTTTAAAGGGTGAATGAAGGTGGACCTATCCAATTTTCCTTTTTTCGTAAATGAGAAGTTCCAAATTGCTCCAATGTATTCCTATGGCAGTAGTACAATAAATTTCTCTAATGTCATTTTTCTTGAACTATAATTAGAATTTTATCACACAAAGACAAGTGAAAGCATAATAAGCATACAAATGTGCTCATAGTGAGGAAAAGAAACCTGAGGATGAAGAGGCTTGCACAATAAACTAGATGGCAAATGAATTAATAATTATTTTACCAATCAAAAGGTGCCAAGAATCTTTACAATGCTTTATTAAATTAAACCTTCACATAACCGTGTTTTGATACAGAGACAAGAGCAAAACACTTTAATTTATCTTTTAGTGTCTTGAAAGAATTTGTTCATGATTTTCTTGTTTCCTCTCCAGGATAGAAAGATGTTTTCCTTCTAGTCTCCCTTGGTCTCTGGTAGTGCAGCTAATTTTATGAGATAAGTATGTAAATATATCATATGCAAATATTAAATACTTTAAAAAAAAACCCGAAAATGTTTGCTGAAGAATTGGTAATTAACATAAAAAAGAAAGACATGCCAATTTCCTAAAGAAATTGGCATGTCTTAATGGTTAAATTGATGATAACTTTTGGCAAACGAGGTGACTGAAAGCTGACCTGCTTAAGATTCTGTTTCACCCCACACAACTCTTCCATAGTTTTGATCTGTGATGCTAGGACTTAGTCCTCAAAAAAGCGGAAACAAGCATTTCGGAAACTGGACTGTCTTTATGCGCTGATCAGGTTTTTGACTTTGTACAAGAGATGGGTGACTAAAAGCTGACCAGCAAAGGAGTTGGTTTCACCCTGCACAACTCTTTCTTAGTTTTGATCTGTGATGCAAAGACATGGTCCCCAAAAAAAAGGAAAAAACTGTTTTGGACACTGGACTGTCTTTATGCGCTGATCAGGTGTTTGACTTTGTAAAAGAGATGGGTGACTTAAAGCTGACCTGCAAAGGCTGGTGTCCCCAAAAAAGAGTATAAAACATTGCAAAACTCTTTTCCAGGTGTTTAGTCTTGATCTGTGATGCAAAGACTTGGTGCAAAGAAAAAAGAGTATAAAACATTTCGGAAACTGGACTGTCTTTATGCGCTGATCAGGTGTTTGACTTTGTACAAGAGATGGGTGACTTAAAGCTGACCTGCAAAGGAGTTGGTTTCACTTTCCTGCAAAGACTTGGTCCCACAACTCTTTTCCTTAGTCTTGATCTGTGATGCAAAGACTTGGTCCCAAAAAAAGAGTATAAAACATTTCGGAAACTGGACTGCCTTTATGCGCTGATCAGGTGTTTGACTTTGTACAAGAGATGGGTGACTTAAAGCTGACCTGCAAAGGAGTTGGTTTCACCCTACACAACTCTTCCTTAGTCTTGATCTGTGATGCAAAGACTTGGTCCCCAAAAAAGAGTATAAAACATTTCGGAAACTGGACTGTCTTTATGCGCTGATCAGGTGTTTGACTTTGTACAAGAGATGGGTGACTTATAGCTGACCCGCAAAGGAGTTGGTTTCACCCTGCACAACTTTTTCTTAGTTTTGATCTGTGATGCAAAGACTTGGTCCCCCAAAAAAGAGGAAAAAACTGTTTTGGACACTGGACTGTCTTTATGCGCTGATCAGGTGTTTGACTTTGTACAAGAGATGGGTGACTTAAAGCTGACCCGCAAAGGAGTTGGTGTCACCTTGCAAAACTCTTCCTTAGTCTTGATCTGTGATGCAAAGACTTGGTCCCAAAAAAAGAAGATTAACATTTCCGAAACTGGACTGTTTTTATGTGCTGATCAAGTGTTTGACTTTGTACAAGAGAGGAGTGACTAAGACCTGATTCGCTAAGGGGTCGGTTTTACCCAACAAGTCCCTGGAAAGATTTGAAGATAGTGATTCAAAGAGTTCGTTTTTAACACGAAAACTCATATTCGAAACTAAAGGGAAAATGCTTGTGGATTTCTTTAACTGATCAAAATAACTAGCTTTTAGCCCCTAATGAACTTTTAACTTTTACCGAGTCTGACGCCTACTTCAAAACATTTTGAAACCCTTGCGGTAAACATACTGATTCGAGGAGACACTATAGAAACTAATTCCAAATAAGTAAAAACGACGGCTTAGTCTGGAGAAGACAAAGCAGCGTCACTTTTGAAATACTCCTTGCAGCATGACCAAAATATACCATTGCCAACAATGTCCTAAAAAAGCAATCGGTCTTACAAATATTTTTTATTCCCCTTTGTCCTGAGAAGGAAGACTTCTGAAGGTAGTTACAAGGTCTTTCGATCGAAATGTGCTCAAGCAAACTTTTTATGTCAATCCTTCAGGCTCGGTCTAAAAATACTTTTGAGTTTCATCTCTAAATCTGTCGATCCTTTAGTTTTATATTATATATTTTATTATAAAAAAAATTGATAACAAGAAGAATACTGCCAAAATTTTTCTTCATTTTTTCAATTGAATTGATGAGATTAAGATTAACTGATATCTTTCATTTTTACTGGTGGTTGCATCCACAATTGATTCGTGTCTAGAACTAGGGGTCTTAAAATGTTATCGTTTCGTTTTCATTGTCTGTTAGTTGCCATAAAGATGACTTTAGATTGTGGTGAGCCGAATTGTTGTGGCGTTGAAACTTATGTAATTCTTTTATGATGGCCCTAAGCGACCAATTTTTATGTATATAATTATGGCGTACCTTTGCTCTTTCAGCTACCCCAAAGATTGAAGTAGAAAAAGGAAGTTCAAGAGAAACGAGAGTACTTTTTAATCTGGTGAGTGTAGCTTTGTTGTTCACTTGAAAGAAAAATTGTGCAACGTATGTGGAAGTTTTTCATGGTCGTGTGACGGGAATAATCTGTTAGTCGTTCTTGTGGTGAAGGTCTAATTAGGACGAATTCACATTCATTTTATTTACCGAATTTACTTTTTCAACTGTGATTGTTGTGGCATAGTTAAATAGAAGCTTGTGGAAGTTTGTCTTAGTCTTTCGGCAGGAAAAATTTGTTTGTCGTCCTTTTGGTAGAAGTCTGATGAAGTCAGAGGGCGGGTAATGTTTTATGTCTCAAATTCATGGTCTTGATTTCATTTGCCTGTTTTGCAGGTTTTTTCGACCACAAAAAGCAGGATAACAAGGAACATGATCACTTTAAGCATGAGACCATAGAAAAATATCAATCTTGGACAGAAAGCAAAATTGGATCGAATCCCAACTCAGAGAATAAAGTGAAACATTGGGATTCGATTTGTCCACACACACCCTGAAAAACTGGAAAAAAGGAAAGGAAACTGAAAAATTGTTCGCCTTCCATCATCCCCCACCACACCTGCCTCACTTAGACAGTTTATAGAAGTTATGTACCTTTGAAAAAAAACGTAAACGTTCCCCGTCTATCATCCCTAATCCCACCCGCCTCTCGTAGGAGGCGGGTGGACTTTCCTCTACCTTGGAAAGAAACCATAAACGGTCCCACACCTCACCACAGCACACCACTTTCAGTCAGTTTACTTAATTCTTGATAAAGGTCATCTAAACATTTTTTATTACATTTTTACCAACATTACAGTACAATGATCCAATATTCATTGCTATAGTAATATTGCAATCCTTACTTTAATCTACAGTTGTTTATTTACAACAATTGAACAGTTTTTTTCTTTCACCCATCCGACCTCCCCCACCACGCCCACCTCTTGCAGAAAGTTTTCTTAGCCTTTCAAAACCTTGTCTACCTTGTGGTATTAACATTCATTTCAAAATCATGCGTTTTGTGCCACCACATATCTGTCTTAATATACATGCGTATTACTTTCATAAATATTTAAAAGTCTTCGAAGAGAGGCGGCTGTGATGGGGGACGGTGGCGATTCAGTTGGTGTTTGTCTCTGGTCTCTTGCCTTGCTTGTTTCAATCTAAGGAAAATGGAAGAACATCAATAAAGGGCTTTATTCTGTTTTGCTCATATCCCAATTAACTGCAGTTTGCTGTTACCGTGATTAAATAAAATAAAATATCTGCAGTTTGGCTGTTACCGTGATTAAATAAAATAAAAATATCGAGCAGCGTACTTTTTCAAAAAAATTCATTTGAAAATGGATATTCTACAGCTTCCTTTTTCCAATTCTAACAAAAATTTTCTAAACCGTCATTGTTCCTTGAAACGCAAAGGTTGTGCCTCGAATCTTCGTTTGCTTTGCTGCTCGTGTGGTTGGTCTATGGAATTCTTTACTTCAGCTCAAATAGGCCGTTTCTTTGAAGTAAACAGAAGATTTGTGTATGCTTCAAGATCTGTTGGTTGTGGACGTGCGGCAGGTAAGAGGTTTTGTGGACTTATGAACATGCCGCCACCTCCTAGACCTACACCATATGCTCGCCATAATAAAGAAATACTCCGAGCAGTAAAGAAGATCTCACTGGAGACAATGCGTGATACTGCAAGAGAGATTCACGATATCAAGCCAGGTTCAGATGAGGGCATAGCAAGATGTGGAGTGTCTGTTGATGGAACATGGCAGAGAAGAGGCTTTTCTTCTTTAAATGGCTGTGTGAGTGCTATTAGCATGGATACAGGGAAAGTGGTAGATGTTGAGCCCCTAAGCAAAGTTTGTATCAAGTGCAGGAGCATGAAAATGATCCTTTTGTTTGTAGATCTGCATAAGCTGCAGTATGATGAATATTATGGCGATGGTGACAGCAAAAGTTACTCATTAGTCAAAGATGTATACCAAGTCTATGATATTCAAGTTCAAAAGAAGGAATGTGTTGGCCATGTTCAAAAAACGACTGGGAACAGCTTTACGAAAGTTAAAGAAGGAAAAGAAAGGGATGGGTGGGAAAGGCAGGCTGCCACCTCGTTGCTAAAGCCGCCCGTCACGGCAAAAAAGGATTTCTTGAAAAGTATTAAACCAAAAGGGATGAAATTTTCAGGAGGTTTGCTTGAGTATAGTTCTGTGTTGTGAACCTAAAATTATTAGTGATTTTAGTTACATGGTTGTTGACAGATGTATCCATGGTGATAATACAAACAAAAATGTTGTAATCAAGGAACAGTTGCAATTTTATAATAGCTTGGCATAAAAAAATATGGGTTTTCTGAGGTTCATGACATAAAGCCATCTTTGTCTTAGTTTTGATACCAATTTCAGGTGAATAGGACCGCTAGTTCTTGAGATATCCTTTTGGTTTGAAAACGTCTGAATTCGGAGGATTGGACTTCTGTAAAATATTGCCTAAACTAGGTAATATGTTGAGCTTTCTAACCTGAAATCAGTACATCAACAAATCGGCTTGAAACTCTTCATTCCGGAAGACATCCCAAGCGATTCCTCCATTACTGCAATTTTCAAAAAAATCATTGTCTATCTGAAAAAGATAATTTGAACAAAACATATTTGCAGGTGTAAATATCTTTCAGACTGCTATGTTCGGTTTCAAACATTTACAAAAAAAAACTTCAAAAAGGAATCAAAGAAAAAGCAGAGCCACGGTAAACTCCAATTCACTACTCTTGCTGATTTCCCTACCCCTCCCCTCGACTCGAGAGAGAAGTATTCGACTCTAACCGGAAAGAGTAAACTAACTATTTTGGTGCAGATGAAGGCCACAGAACATCACGAACAACATACAGTTACCGTCGCATTAATTCACTGGGATAAAGTTTAAAAATAGCGAAGTGAGTAAAAGCCCTAGATGCTGCTACAGTACCGCTCGCATACACGTTTCACAAAAAACGCAAATAAAAAGCGCCAAAAGTCGCACGCAAGTACGAATACAAAAATCGCACGCGC